CTAAGGAATGAGCGTCATCCCATCAGGTCTCTTGCCATCGTCGCGGAAGATACCATTAGGCTCCACCTTTAGCACTACCTCCGCTGCGTCAAGCGATAGATAGGTGCGAAGAGCGTGAACAGCTGCTTCACAACCACCCTTGATGCCAAAACCAAGCTGAACTGGTTGGAATTCAGCTGAAACAGTCTGTAAAATATGGTTACAACAAATTTTGGATGCTATACGGCGAAAGGTGGAGCCAACAGCTATAGGGCGAATACCACCGTCTTTTTTCTTTAAAGCAATTAGTTCGCTCCGTGAAAGATCTCAACAATATATTCTGGAACTTCGCCGAATAGCATTAAATTAATTTGGTTAGTTTAATATATGATATTATGTAATAAGGCTCTGCCAGCGTCACCGACTGAGACGAAAATAAGGTCTTTAAAATGTTGAGGTGAAAGCCCATCTCGGCCCCTGGTAGAGCCACTTTTGAAGGAGAATATTGCAGCCAAGATGTCAGCTTCTTGGCTTATTAAATGAGCATTTTGAGTTGAATCGGGTGGCGAAGGTAGGACAAGATTTTGTGCTGGAGGTGGGTTGTTATCTTCAAGAGCACTAAGGGTCTCCTGGCAGTTGACGGCGACAACATCAATACTAAACAAGAGATTGGCGGCTCCTCGGAGATCACCATCGCTTATTTTAGACTCTATTAGCTATTATTTATTAGAATTTGGAGGCCGAGAGGGAGGAATGACAAGTGAATGTGGGCGGCAGTTCTCCTTATTTTATTGTGTTAGAGAAGTACAGGTGCTATTTTGGTTAATGTGTAAAATTCTAAATGAAAATGTTAAGAGTCCTGCCCAGCTCTCAGACGTGTTTACTCTTAATACATGCTCGATGCATTGCGATAAAGAAACTGCGACTGCAGGCCGTACAGAACGGGGGATTCTTTTTAAGACGGGAAGTGAATTTTTGAGATTGCCAAGAATTTGCCAAAGTGGTTGGTTGTCCGAATTTAGAGATGGAGTAGGAGAAACTGCTGGCACAGAGGCAGAGGATTTATGAGACCTGCCAAATGTGTATTTTGAAGCCACGGTTACCTTTAAAAAATTGGGGTTGTATGCACTTAGGGCACTAGATGAGTTGTACGTCGTCACTGCCATGTATTATGATTGCCGTGCATATGCACGTAGAGATTGCGTCAAAACCAATAAATAATACACTTAGATAAATGATTGCTCAGTAACCATAGATAAATGATTGGTCTCGCTTCACTCAACGAGTCGAGTGAAGCGAGACTAATCATTTATATATGCACATAACTTATAAAAAACACACATTCGAAAAAAACATTAACAATAAAAATAAACGCAACACATAAACACATTCCATAGTCAACATTTTTTGATGATACGACGTCATAAAGCCAGGCACCATACGTCCGTTGCTTTGCTGCCGTGTCCAGTAAAGCCACCCATTGGCTGAGCAGTATTATTAACGCCTAGCAACTGCGGCTGTTTATGGCATCCTTGGAAACAGTCATTAAACAAACGGTGCAAATTAAATGGTTTTTCGGCTATCTACATACGACGAGACTTAGCTTGCCCATATGCAGACGTCAATAAGACGTCATCTATTGAAATATTATATAAATTGTATAGATGACGTTTTCATGGGACAGAGCCCGGTAGGGTGGGGTAAGGTTCGAGCGCTATAAGGCACATTTTCAGATTCATTCATATTCATTACTCTTTTCATTCACACCCGCCGGTTTCTACATTTCCTGACACCTACCTTAAGAATGCGACGAATTAGATCGTGTCAGGTTAGCCTTGACCTTTCCCGGCTTTTACATCATTTCATTGTGGTGTCGTATCTGTTTCGTCATTCTCCATTGGACATTCTTTTCACATGTCAGGGATATCTGTTCATTTTAGCTCCTATCTGTATTCTGAGGCTCCAATACGCCTTTCAAGCCAACTCTCCTTTTTACTTCCACATTACGAACGCGGTCTCCGAGCGTCATTCTTGACTGCAAATGCAGTCTGTTGTCATGTAAATGTTTTACTTTCATATCCTTTCTGACAAAACGACTCACGCTATCGTACATTAGCTTTGGGGTCTGCATTTGGACCAAATTGGAGGTGTATAGCGTTCTGTTCCTGCGATAGAGATGATGGTTTACTCTTTTTTCTTCGTCTATCAGGTACATTTATCAAAAAGTATTTAACGTGTATTTTTTCTTATTTGCATAATCAAAACATCACTTCTCTTCTTTGCCGATTCACTCTTGACAGAGCGGTCGTGGTCATCAGGTAGCGGTCAGGTTCCGGGCAGCCATAATCCTCTTCACGATGCGACGCCATCCTTCCCTGTCGGTTGTGCTACGTGTGCACTCGTGCAAGGGGCCGCCTACTGCCGATTTGATCTGGTCGGTCCAGCGCATGGGCGACCTGCCACGTGCCCTCGTGCCTTTCACACATCACAGAGATATTATATTCATTTGAAAGTTCGCATTATGTCACGTCTTGGTAAGATTTTTACTTAGAAGTGACACCACGAGCCCGTACTCCCAAACTCTGACACGCTCTATCTTTGTCACTTGCTGGTTAATTACCAAATTGACAACTTGTTTTCATAATCTAACTGACGGTGACGGACTAAATAGAATTTCGATTAATTTACCCCATCATCATCCCTATTCGTTTCATTGTAAATTTATATTTGACGACCTGGAGCCGAGCGGTTTGTACGCCGGGTTTCATGGTGTCGCCGACTCGAAAGGTCGCGGATTCGAATCCCGGTGGGGGCAGATGCTAGTGTGATGAATACGAGCATTTGTACTCCAGTCATGGATGTTTAAATGTATTTTTAAATAAATATGCTCATATATGTACAGTATAATTATTTTATCCGTTACCCTAGTATCCCATAACTTTGGGGCGACGCTAATTGGTGTGAGTGTTGGAAATATTTATTTATTTATTTATATTTGGTATTATGTCTCATTGCCTGCTCTAAAAGTATCCATTTTAAGGCGGCGAAAGTATTTCTGCTACTAATTGATTAATCAAACATATTTCATATGTTCCACATAAAAAACGCTAAATAAAGCCAGAAGGGGTAAAATAGAGGATGAAAATTTGTATAAGTGAACTAATTATTCTACTTATACCTACGCTATAGAGCAACATGGAAGCGACTTATTACTATTTTAATCATTCTGCCATTTCTTGCGAGGAGGAATATGCACATAAAAACGTGCGTTAAAAAACTAAATTGTAATAACGACACTCATGCATAAAGAATAATGACACAAACCACAATACACCGCCAAATCTTGCTCACATAATATGTGGGGTCTAAAGGCAAATAATAATAATAAATTATTTATTTGTTTCAACATACAATTGGTACAATACACAAATAGAATGACAGTAAATAATTGAAACAAAAAGGTATGTGGCTCAGCATGTGACAGTCAAGTTTTGACTTGTCGCTGGTATTCTGCCACCACCTCACAATTATTATATTCTAAAAAACACATTAATAAGGACAATATCAGCAAGTCGAGACAATAATTTAGTTTTAATTACTACAACAATTAAACAGCATCATATTTTGTACTTGATGAAATCCACCACTGTCCCATATATACTCTTTGGACAGTGGCGGATTTGCTTTTTTGTTTGTATGCCCAATTTGTATTACCAGTTCGACACAGGGCAAAGCTAATAAGACTATTTGTATAGTATATATATATATACTGTATGACACAGCAATCAAAATGTGAGTGGACATTGTATTGATATCGACATTTTTTTTTGTTCTTTATTCATTTAGAGGCTTTCATTCTACGAATATATGCCAGCCTCATCGTACCCTAACCAAATCTTAGTTATGATTTTTGTAAATGTTGCTACTTCTGTTAAATGCTGATGAGTATCTTTTGCCTGTTCTTCTCATCAGATAAAAGATGTCCTGAATGGGTGGGTGGAAAACGTTTTGGACGATTCAAAAGTGCTTTCAATACGTCAATTTGAATCACTACATAGTATAAAGCAAAGACCCTATGTCCCTATGTATGCTTAGATCTTTAAAACTACGCAACGGATTTTGATGCGGTTTTTTTAATAGATAGAGTGATTCAAGAAGAAGGTTTATATGTATAATACATGCATAATATAATAGAGAAACACTGATAATTTTAGAGGTTTTTAATGTAAGGTCGTTAATAAACACTTTTTGCGCTTACATTGCAAACGCTGGCTGAACCCTACGAGATAGACATAGCGGTTCCGACGCTACCGGGCCGGGGCTTGGCGGTGCGTGCCTATTGTTATTAGTTATTAGAAGAATGCCATTGTGTTTAATACAAGCCTGAGAACAAAAACTATAGTCTACACTACAGCTCTACACCGAAGCGAAGTGATGGCGGGCCACTAGTATAGTATAATTTCTTTCCTCGCCGCGTCGGCCGTGTTGCTCTATTACTTACGCAGATGACGTAGTTAGCACCTATCATCCATCCATCCATCCATCCATTCATCCATCCATCCATCCATCCATCCATCCATCCATCCATCCATCAGCCTTTCTCCGTCCACTGCTGGACATAGGCCTCCCCCATACAACGCCACAATGCGCGGTCCTGCGCTATCCGCATCCAGCGGCTCCCAGCACATTTGACGATGTCGTCAGTAGTACCCCGTACCCCGCCGTTACCAGGCCCGCCACCGTGAGCCGGAATAGCGGGGTCGCCGTGACTCGGGGCCATTGTGTTTATGCGCTTGTTCATTTTAGGGGGGTTATTGCCATAATCGCCACGCTTGGCAGGCGGGTTGGCGATCGCAGTAGAACTAATGTTACTCAGGAGAACGCTGCTGCCCGTTCTCCTGGTGATCTCTTAGTCGCCTTTTACGACACCCACGGGAAGAGATGGGGAGGTGCAATATTCTATGCCGGCACCCCACCCCAGTTAGCACCTACCACGCATTAATAAACAGTATATTTCCCAGACAAACGAAATGTTCAACCGAGAAATGGAGAAAGCCGGCGTGACGGTGTCACCATACGCTCCGCAGACCTACGACGCTGTGTGGGCCATAGCTCTAGCCCTGAGCAAGGCCGAAGCACTGTGGAGACACTCGCAGGAACAAACGACGGGCAGAAGATGGAAGCTCGGGCTGAGTCATTTCGACTACGACAGGAAGGATATGGCTGAGGAGTTCTTGAATCAAATCGGCAACTTGAGTTTTGTAGGCGTTTCGGTAAGTCTATATAAATAAGTTCCCCTACCTGCCTTGCATCCTAAGAAATACTAGAAGAAATTCGACACATTCATTAAGGTCAAGGTAGCATAATTTGGTCGGTGCATCCGTGCGGTGGGTGCTGGTTGGTGTACCATCTGCTGCCTGGCTTGTAACAGTGCATTAAAAATAAATAGTCCACCATCTTGGGTGTTCTACCATGTTGGATGTAGAAAAGTCACACAGCTAACCGATAATCATGCACTGGTGTCGATTCTGACATGACACCTAATCTTAAATTTGACAATAGTGTATCCTTGTCATTCTCTATACAGAATGAAAAGTAGAGACTGATGTTAAATTTAGTTTTAAGTTTAGAGAATCATGTCAGAATCGACACCATTGTCACCCAAACTAAACATATATAAAAAAATACATGAGATTCCTAAGTATATCATAAAAAGGCGCCATCACCAGCCGAATCGAAAATAAATTAAAACAATGACTAAAAAAAATTACAACCCAAAAATACTTACCATTAGAATAATAGTGCATAAATGAAATATCTTTCAAGCGTCCAACTTAGTGGTATCGTGATGGTAGCAAAGACATTTTTTTTTTTAAAATTAACCAGAATTATCTAATCTAAAGCGAAGCCGTGTGAGGCGGGTCGTTGCGTTTCCTAAAATATGGTTGAGCGAAGCGATGGCTGGTTCATGCGTCATGCTCGTGAACGGGTGCTGCCAGCGGAGATGAGTCTGTCCTATACTACTTTATTATTGTAATGATAATTAATTATTAAATTTAGATTGTATTTTACATTACACAACAGCCCTTGCTGAGTTTCTCGCCGGTTCTTCTCAGTACAAGGTCTCCCGCCGTAGATTTGCGAACCGATGGCGTAGCTTTTCGACATTCACAAGTGCTTGTAACAGCCTAGACTGAATAAACGATATTGAATTTAGATTTTTTTTTTAAGAAAAAAATCCACGCGGACCTGGCAGCAGACACGACTCGAACCCGCACCCTTCGCTATCCGGGCGAATGCACTGACCATTATGCTACCGCGTAGAGAAGTAGCGACTTTTTCTTTTCATGAATGTAATATTTAGATGTTTCTTATTTTCAGGGTCCCGTTTCATTTAATGGAGCAGATCGTATCGGAACATCCGCTTTCTACCAGATACAAGGTAAAATTTTACCCATTCTTTTATTTTAACTTAATGCTAAACACTTGACATCACTAAGCGTATTTGCTATTTGTAAAATTCTTAACATGCTTTTAATGGAAATATGCCATGCCATGAAAACTGCTGGCATTACAATTAATATTTGCAGGCGTCAGCTTTAGTTTTCGAGTAGACTTTTACTTAAAGACGTGGTTAATTCGTCCAAGTTAAAAGCTCTTCTTTCTTCTTTGTAAATGAACTAAGATAACTTTAAATAGAGGCTGATTAATTTACCCATGTCTATGATTCAGGGTGTGCGTAGTACACTAACACATCGGTCTCAGGCGGCACCGAGCGGCACTCGGCCCAATTACATTTTGATCGCGCGCTTACTAGAGGACAGACCCCTCTTTCCCAGTGGGCACTTTGCGCAAGTGTCCAGGGCTCCGCGATCGATAGGGGGCCCCCTCAGGTCAAATAAAAAGTTCCTGTTAAATCACCAAATGGGGGTCAAAGGGGCCCCATTATCCTAATATGCCCAGGGCTTCCAATAGGTCAAAGACGGCACTGCTAGAGCACGCTAGGTTTAGGGATTGCACTCTAGGCCACTGCTGCTACACAAAACGCAATACCACACACTGCACAAAAAACAACCACTAAGTTAGATGAGCTACAATTGGAATGTCTGCGACATCCACCGTACTCCCCGGACCTTGCTCCAATAATAGATTACCAGTGTTTTCGGAATTTGGAAAACTTTTTACAAGGAAAAAAATTCAACACCGATGCGGCAGTCCAAACCGTCTTCAAAGAGTTTATTGATTCTCTCCTCCATGTTTTTTTTTAGTAAAGGGTTCAATGAACTACTCATGAGATGGCAAAAGCGCATAGATAACATCGGTGCATACTTTGATTAATTAAATATATTTTACAAAAAAAAATTACTTTATATTCCTCCCGTACAAAACGCCAATTTCATATGTAAGGACCTCATACATGATTTATTCGTAAATTTTATTCTATCCTAGGTGGTCGTCCTAAAACCGTAGCATTATACGCTCACGGTCGAGAGTTGTCATGCAATGAATGCGGCAAACCTCAATGGGCGGGCGGTGTTCCTGCCGCTAAGAGAGTGCTGGTGCTAAGGGTGGATTCAGTGTGGGCGCCCGCCAGGCTCGCGGTAGCGGCACTAGCGGCGGCCGGGGTTGCGCTAGCGCTGGCCTTCCTGGTCTTCAACCTGCATTACAGCAAACAAAGGTAGCTTGCTTGTGTATAGAAGCTGTACTGCTGGTGGCTGTTAAGACTGTGCGAGTGTTTAGGGTACATTTTTGGTAGAATATTGAACAACCTAGATGTATTTTATACCCCGGCAAACTTCTTGGGCATAAATCATGGACAGCAAAACCTGCGCTCAGTAAGCGCTCAGTGACCTGCACAGTAGTTATTTCATACACAAATACCTCTATTGCGTAAGTTTGTTTGTCAATAGTTTTACTCGAAGATATTTACTGATACTTGGACTTGAGTAGGTATACAAGCTGCAGTGACTGTTAAGACAGTGCTCGTACCGACGGTAGATTTTCTCGTAGCTACTTGTGCATAAAAGCAGTATTATGGCTATACCTAGGCGAGTTCTTGTGGACACGTTGGAGCTGTTGCGGGCGTTCGGTTGGGTCACAGCTACAGCGTCAGTGAAAGCCCGTGTAATGGACTGGCCTTTCTAATCTTCAAACTGCTTCACAGCAAACGAAGGTATGTACTGGCGAATATTAGCTGTACCTACTGCTGGAGGTGAGGATATATTCCTTGGTAGAACATTAGCAACCTAATACACATTCGAGCGAGTTCTAATACACATGCTGGAGCTATTGTGGGCAGAACGAGTAGCGCGAACGCTGGTCTCCTGGTTTTCAACCTGCATTACAGGCAACGAAGTTAGGTACTTGAGTGAAGAAGCTGTACTGCTGGCGATTGTTAAAACCATGCTGGTGCTTAGGGTATACTTGATGGTAGAACATGAACAACCTAAGCGAGTTCTAATACACATGCTGGAGCTATTGTGAGTAGACTGGGTAGCATAAAAGCTGGTCTTTAACCTGCGTTACAGCAAGCTAAGGTAGGACTTGAGTAAAGAAGCTGTACTGCTGGCTGTTGTTAAGACCGTGCTGGAGCTGAAAGTAGACTCCTTGGTTAGACTTTGAGCATTAAGGCATCATTGACACTGTCTTGTGCCTATACCTACGCGAGTTCTGAAGTACATACTTGAGCTATGGTGGAAGCCAAGTGGTGGCCCGAATCGAATTCGGTCTAACCATGAACACACGAAGATTACGATACCAACGGAATAAAGATACCTACTTAGGTATATATATTACTAAACACTGTACATTAAATGTATGCTGTTTAACCCTATAAGTCTTAATTATTTTCCAGGTCGATAAAGCTGTCCTCGCCTCGGTTGAACAATATGACGCTGATAGGCTGCGTGCTGGTGTACACTGCGGTCGCATTATTAGGAGTGGACCACTCCAATCTACCCTCTAACGTTCCATTCTCAGCAATGTGTACGGTGAGTCCAAATCAATCCATCGAAATAAACTGACATCACTATACTTTGGAGGTCCGAGGAGAAGTTGGTTAGCGCGTTCGGCTGCGATCGTTGAAGTTATACAATTTTTACAGTGGTCGCACATTGGATGGGCGACCTAAAATGTACTATCCCGTGCTCCTCTATGCTTCAGAAGGCACGTTAAGCCGTTGGTTCCAGCTGTATCTGCAGTCGTTAGCACTCACCAACTGTATTTAGCCCGCGAGGTGGGTCCTGGCCCAATCTCCCTATTCCATCCATAGGGAAGACCTGTGCTCAGCTGTGGGGGCATTTATTGGCATTTATATTGATGATGATAATATACTTTGAGGTACTACTCGGAAATGGTATGCTTTACCCGCTTACGTGTTCCCTCCCTACTACAACCAGAGATCCGTTAAAAGCGGCGCGGAGATGCAACTTGCAGGTCGGCAATATGAGGATGGCTGTTATAGCAAGTAACACTGCTGTACAAGCTGTCTTCGCGTTTGGATTCTATCGTCACTTTAAATATCAGCCAGGTGGGGTGGAGTCATTTGTAGAGCCTTCTTAAGTAATTTTCACAAGGCTGGCCCTAGGATGGGTAACACAGAATGGGTAAATTCTTAGTGCTTCTAAAGGTATTAGGTCTGGCTGTTAAACACTATTGATACTGTTAATTAATTAAAACTACGAAAGATTTTGCAACTATCTCGTTAAGATTTTTTACCTTTACAATAAAGTAAAAAGTAAAGTAAAAATGTCTTACTAACACGCAATTTGTTTTTCTTTCAGGGCAGAGTGTACATTTTATCTGCGGGATTTTCACTTGCATTCGGATCAATGTTCGCAAAAACATACAGAGTCCATAGGATATTTATTAGGTAAAGTTGATTTATAAATATATATGTATAATCATAAAAGTCATGAATTAAATGTAATAAAAATCCATTATTCGCCTTATACTTGGGTGCCCTACCTGCTGCCACGGAAAAGCCTAATGCCCGCTTGTCATACTTTTGAAGTAAAACAATCAACAAAGACGTTTTTTCCAAGCTTTAATTAAGGCAGAGTGCAAATTGTGCAATGGTTAGCGTATTCGATATGTGAGGAACCTTAGCGGTGGCATGTCACAGGATGGGTGACCAAAAATTTACTATCTCAAGGTCCTACGTGTTTCGTTAGACAAGTTAAGCAGTTGATCCCAGCTGCATCTGCAGTAACCCCCAAATTCACACTCAGCGGGCGTAATCATGACCTAGTCTACCTATTCCATTCATAGGGAAGGCCTGCGCCCTAGCAGTGGAGACATTATTAGGCAAATGATGATGAAGTATCAAACTTTCAGCACCTTGGTGACTGCAAAACGAATTTCTTTCAACACAAACCTCTCATATCACTAGTCTGCTCCCTAGTCGTCATAGACAGCATGATCGTGACTCTGTGGGCCACCCTCGACCCCATAAACGTTGATATTTCAATTTAAGCCTTTTGCCTTGGTCTGTTAAAGGATGGGTGACCAAAACTTACGAACTTGATCTCCTCCGACACGTTAAGCTGTTGATACGAACTGCATTTGCAATTGTTAGAATCTACAAATCTCGCGTAGTGGGTCATGGCTCAATCTCCCTATTCTATCCATAGGGAGGGCCTCAGCAGGGGGGACGTTAATAGGCTGATGATGATGAAGATAATGATTTCAGTATATATCTGAAAACCGCTTACACGCCGCATCTGTCTGTCTGTATGTTTGCGACGATCTCAAAAAAATATCTCTCTTCAATATTTATTTACAAAAGATTTTTATTTTAATTTTCAGTAATCGGAGTGGTGTCTGCAAAACGAAACTCCTACAAGACACGCCCCTCATATCGCTGGTATGCGCCCTGCTCGTCATAGACGGTATGATCGTGACTCTATGGGCCACCCTCGACCCTATGGAGAGACATCTGAAGAACCTCACCATAGAGATCTCTGCTAGCGATCGCAGTGTAGTCTACCAGCCACAGGTATTACGATAAAAATCGACCGAAAGCAAGGCAAACAGTATAAGGGTTAGCGTTATGACTTGTGTTTCAAAGCAACTACAAACCATCAAAACGGAGAAAAATAAACAACTTTTATCACCACTAAAGACATCTAGTGTGTAGATACAATAAGCATTTATAAAAAAAGCAAAACATAGAGGCCTAGTATAACTACATATTATACTATGAGTAAACTTTTACATATATCTGATTTTCGAGGAGGAAATCGTCGAGAGCCAGACCTCGAATTTTGCAATTTTTATTCACAATTTTCAGTGTTAACTACTGTTGTCCGTATTGCATGGTTTTTTGCCTTGCGCGACAGCAATAGTATTTTCAAATACCTTTTTCTCAAATATCTCTGAGCTCGTGTCCGCTCTTAATGGTAACCCTGCTCTGACTAGCACACGTATGATTCCAAAAATTATCAAACACTAATAATAGGCTCATGATGAATATTATTTTCAGATAGAAGTCTGCAAATCCCAAAACACTACTGGCTGGCTTTGCGCCTTATATGCTTACAAAGGCCTTCTTCTCCTCGTCGGAGTTTACATGGCATGGGAGACCAGACACGTCAAAATATCCGCCCTTAATGACTCTAAGTACATCGGCATAAGCGTTTACTCCGTCGTCATAACCAGTACTAGTGTGGTCGTCATAGGCACCATAATATCGGAGAGGGCTACATTGGCCTACATCACCATAACCAGCCTTATACTGATCACGACCACTTCTACGCTGTGCTTGCTGTTTCTGCCAAAGATCATCGCAATAAGGACTAAAAGTAAGTACACATTAAGTGCTGAATATTAAGAGAGGATTTTACTCTTAGTACATCGGCATTAGCGTATACTCCATCGTCATAACCAGTTCCAGTGTGGTCGTCATACAGTGTGACTAAGTCACCATAACCAGCCTTATATTGAGTACTATGACTTCTATGCTGTGCTTGCTATTTATGCCAAAGATCATCGCCATAAGGACCAATATCAAGTGTTAAATGGTTAATATAAAGAGAGGATTTCACTCGTAAGTACGTCGGCATTAGCGTCTTCTCCGTTGTCATAACCAGTACTAGTGTGGTCGTCATAGAAACCATACTATCGGAGAGAGCGACGCTGGCCTGCATCACCATAACCAGTTTTATATTACCCCTACTTCTACGCTGTACTTGCTGTTACTGTCGAAGATCATCGCTATAAGGAGTAAAAGTAAACGATTACATTTCCAGAAAGTTTACTTTTTGAGAGCATGTAATTGGAAATTTTCTTTATTACAAGACAAATAACGAATGGAATCTTTTTGTTCGTATAAGGAAGGCTTTATGCTCCTGATCGGAGTTAATTTATATGACTTGGGAGACCAGACACGTCAAAATCTCCGCCAAATAAGGAGTTAAAGTAAGTGTTTAGTTAGATTTCTGTCTTCTACTCCTGCTCGGAGCTTACATTGCCTGAGAGACAATACACGTCAAAATATCTATCATCGGCTGTAGAAATACGCGTCAGGCAACCAACCCTTCTTAGTTGCTTAGTGTTAGGTAATATAAAAAATAAAGTTTGATCTCTTTCAGGTGAAGACGACCCTGTGATACAAAGCTTAGGGCTTAGATTGGAATGTAAAACGAGAAGATTCGTCACGGACGAAACGCAGGAGCTGCACTTCAGGATAGAGATACAGAACAAAGTGTACAAGAGGGAAGTGGCCGCTTTGGACAAAGAGATCGGTAGACTGGAGAAATTGTTGGCTGAACCACTAGAGTCGAGTAGTGGTTACGGCTTACATAAAAGAGTAAGTACTAATTTATCTTATTATTAATATGTATATGAATAGAATGGATAGAGAATAATAATGCGCCATCTTGTATATGTACTAGTTTCAGAGTATGAAATGCCAGTTAATAGCTTTTCCATAATAGACTATCAAGATAGAGACAGTTCAGAAACTGTACAAAGCAGTGGTCTGTTGGCGCAAAATAGATTATATTAGATCTTAAATAAAGAGTTGTCTTTTCGTATTAATGGACATTTTTTTCTTTCCGTCTTTCGATGTGGTAATAATATCACTAGGTATTCTTTTCCCTAATCAATTAAATCCCAAGTAAAAAAGTAAGTAGCGACATTCAGGTGCAGTGCCAAGCACTTTTTCGTATTCTATGCACCATATTCAATATCTATATACTGACTAGCTGACCCAGCAAACTTCGTACCGCCATAAAAAAATAGGGGTTGGTGGTAGAAGGGTGAAAATTTTGGCTCATATTTATTTTTGTATGATGTATCATAAAAAAATTGAAAAAAAAATTATCTAAAATTGAAAAAACAAAAATTTAGGGGTGGATTACCCTTAACATTTAGGGGGATGAAAAATAGATGTTGTCCGATTCTCAGACCTACTGAATATGCATATAAAATTTCACGAAAATCAGTCGAGCCGTTTCGGAGGAGTTTAACCACAAACACCGCGACACGAGAATTTTATATATTAGATTTACCTTTCTCTCTTACAGACGGAACTGAACACTGTGGAAGAGGAAGGCAGATGCCGTTCCGATTCGGACCGTCGTACGCCAAGCATCACTGGCGGTTTACCGATGCTTCTACTATCAGTCTTACCACCCGTCATTCCTCGAGCGAGTTGGCCTTCCGCAGAATCCTGTCGAGGAAGAAACTCCGTAAGCTTCAGTTCCCAACCGAAACTGTACCACAGGAAATCCACACCCGTCATAGATTTATATAACCTCTGCCTTAATAAACGCGAAGAAAACACTGGCCTTCTGAGTAGACTTAAAAGCTTCTTTGGAAGCAGACCATCTAGCAGAAAAGCGTCCACAATGTCCATAGCTGATCCTACAGGACAAAGCATTGCTGCTGCTCTGAAAATGCACGTAGGTATGATAGCTGGTCTCATGCCTGGAAATAGAAAACATTCCATGGTACTCTCGTGCAACACACTGAACGTTCCGAACCCTGAAATGAAACTACGAAGGGAATCTTACACAAGAAGCGGGCCCATCATTAGGATAACTGACGACGAGCCTTCATGCTCGAATTACCAGTCAGAAAGAAGTTCCTCTTCCGGTACTAACAAGTATATAGCAGAACCAGAAACGAGAGTAAACTTCGTATTACCGGCTACCCATAACAGACCAATGTCGCATCAAAACTCTTGCGAGAGAATCAAAGGTTCCCCAAGGTTTCCGCACAGGATTTCTCCTACAGGATCCAGTTTGTCCACTTTGGACACCAGAAGGAAAACTAGTGCAGATAGCGTTTTCAACATATCGGAGAAGATATTCGATGAACAAAGGCGGTATAGCCACCAACATGTGAACCAGCAACCAAGTGACAAGTCTGTTTTAGAGAGTAAATGGAAATCGACTGAGGACGCGAGGCCTGGCCCATCCACTGCAAGGGATTAATTAGTTAGAATGGAATGAAACTAAGCTGGAGTTAAATAAGTTCAATTTTTTCACCCTAATCTATAATGTGCTCAAAAAAAATTAGTTCGGTAGAAACACAAGCGGTGTATATTTTAACTAAATGTGTGTGTATTGTGTGTACGTATATCTCCTGTTTACAGAAGAAGGAACAATTCACTCATTAATAAACACGCTTTTGGTGATTTATACTTAGGTATTTATGTGCTATAATGTTTTGCATTTAAGTTCAATCTCAAGTGATGCGAAACTTCGTTTTAACTTTGACCAATGATTGAATTACTTACTAACCGTGCCCTTACCGTTTTCTGTTTCTTTATTTATTATGAAACGAGAATAAGTTGTTATTGTAACAAATAACATAGCTGTCTTAAAGTTAAATTAAACAGTATTATATTATCTCAGAGGCCAATATGTATTATCAAAAATTCATGCATTGATGTAAAAATTTACTTACGAAAATTTTATTTTGTATGTGTAGGTAACTGTGTACAATGCTTGCGTACCGTTAATTAATAAGGGTTTGATGTATAAACTTTGTATTAATAACAATATTGATGTAAATATAGCATCTTGAATTAAAAGGATTATAAACACCAAAGAGTAGGTCTATTCTGTTTTGAGAAATATCTGAATGTTTATACTTATAAAATGTAGTTTCGCTTTGAATACTTATTTTTTATGTATAATTGAAATATAATTCCAAGTTTTATATTATAAGTATTATAACATTTAAACCGAGCTTGCTGTTGTTAAATAATTTCTTATCTACATTAGAAGGTGTGCTTATATCTCTTATTTTTAACACCTGCAATTGATTTTGTGAAACTAAAAATCTAAAGTGCCTATTTTGAAATTATTTAATATTTAAATATATTATTACAATAATACATAAAAATAATTTCGATGCGTTTTTTTGTACATAGCTTCATAAATGAGACTTTTAAGTCACTTAGTCGAAAACAATTTAAAATACTTACATATCGAAATACCATAATTACAAAATTAATAGAATTTTAGGTTCTTTTATAAAAACGATGTTAGATGTAGGTAAAAATTAAGCAATATTTAGAGTTAATTACTGAAGTATTTGTTATATTAAGAATAAGAATCTTGAAAACAATTTACTTTAGTGCTTGTTGATATCGTCATACAGAATCGGCACTATATTTTTAGACAGCGTTATATCCTAGAGTAACCCAATCAAGAGCGGTCCTAGAAAAGTGTTCATATTTTGTATATTTAAAAATGAGCTCTTTGAATGATAAAAGTAGTCGATCTCCTGACTTAGCATCTATATGTGTGAAATATTAGATAAATAAAATTTTAAATACCTCATTATGTTTTTATTAAATACTCATGGCCTGCCCTTGTTTCGCTTCGATATAAAATACAATATACGAAGTCAAAAGTAAATACTTTTTTTGTGTTTGTGAACAGTTTTTACGTTATATAAACAAGGCGACACAGTTCTTGATAAAAAACGAGCGAGCCTTAAAGTTTTCGCGTATGATGTGTAACATTTGGAACCCCACCTTATATCAGTAAAAAATAAATAAATTCTACTACAAAAGGAATAAGCCATTTGAACATTAAGTTCTAAAATCAAATCAAATAGCGCGCGCTTCCCAAACTTCCTGTTACACACATCCGTCCCACTTCACGTAATCACTCCCACAAATTGCACGAAAGCGAGAGGAAAGATGTTTACACATCAAAAACTTAATATTCACGGGACGTATTCACAACGCGATGCGTTGTGGTGTACAGGTTGCGGCTTTTTTTTTTGAGTGTGTATGCTGTTGGTCGCAGATGACTTTTACAGCATCACCGGGTTTGGGGACGGCGAGATCCTAAGGGGACCTCAAGCCCAGAATTGGCGAGTGCCTCTAGAGATATTTCAGGCGGATGGCGTCTCCCGACGGGGGGAGTCTCCTCTCCGTCTGAAGCCTCTAGACTACTCGGACCTGAGAGGGTCGGCTCAACTAGAGGGCGTCTCTGAGACTCTAACCTCGGCTCTAGTTAGCCGTTGTCGTGGGGGGCGGGGGAAAACGCCCAGGTACGTATCTGTACCTAGGAGGCAGCCGAGATGGAGCGGGAGGATAATCCCCTGGCCGCTCCCTCCCGCCGAAGAAGAGCGGGCAGAAGAGGACGAGTTCGTGCCCTGGCTACGCCCGTCCCATGACCCTGCCCGCGGGGATCCCTAGCTGGCCGGTACGGCGCATTGTGCCGTGCCGGCCACCGAGGGATCCCCTGACGGCAGCCCCCATCTTGTAGTTCTGTCCTGCAAAGATGGGGGCGGCGGAGGGAGCTACACGGGCATGCCCAAGTAGTCCTCCGCAGCGGACGGGGGGCGGTACGGTGGGCACTAGGCCGCGTATTTTGCCCCCACGCGCGGGCCATCCTGCGCACGTCTGCGGGGTCCCCGCAATACCTCGGGAGACCCCTGCCGTGGAGCCCCGGCTAGGCCGGGAGGCTGCTGGGTGCGGAGACGCGGAAGAATCCCTAAACGGGGATCCCGCGGTTTCGCACTAAGCAGCTTAGAGGGTATTCGCAGGACTTTTTTAGCGGATATTATACCGTAAAGCGCCCGTAAGAGTTGCGGGGTCCTCGGTGGGCAGCCACTGTGGGGTTCGTAAGACTTGCGGGAGCCAGGTGTGAGGTCCGTTCGGCGGTGTGCCTCTTAAAGGCGCCGTCGTCTGTAAATAGATTTTTTACCTGCGTATTAAAAAAAAAGGTACGTATCTGTACCTGGTATAGCGTGTCGTGTGTAGACCGGGTCTTCGCACTCTTATCCTACGGGTGCGGTGTCTGCCTAATGCTAAGCTAGTGTGCACGTTTGCTAGCTGTGTAGTGTTGGTGTTTGTGGCCTGTGTGGGAGCAATCGGAGGCGAGGTTGCGGCACGTAACTCTAGCGCTGAACAAACCGCGTCAGGGATAGCTGCGCATGTCGGTGGGTACCTACAACTGGAGAGCCAATCAGCGCAACGCACGCCCACCCGCGCACCTCGTTTCCCCCCAAAACATCTTAATTTTTACTTCTGCGCAATTACGGTCAGCGCTAGTTTCGTGCAGCGACTTATACTAACGGGAGTAGGGGTGATGAGTAAACGAAATTCTATTTAGTCCGTCAGTTAGATGATCAAAAAATAATGGACACGTATTTTTTCTTTGGGCAATCAACCAAAAAATTACAAAGTTATAGCGCGTCAAAGTTTGGAAGTAGGGGCTCGTGACGTCACTTTTGAGTGAATTTTCACTTATAAGTGTACTCAAACGTGACGTCATGCGACTTTTCAAATCAATATATCTCTGCAATGTTTATATTATGTGAAAAAAGAAAAAATACCTGTCCACCAATACTTTTTGATAATCTACCTGATATACGAAGAAAAAAAAGGAGTCATCATCCGTATTGATAGTCGTTTTTCATCAGTTATTTCTTATTTGTTTCTTAGGTTTTCACGCACATCACTGATTAAATAAAACTAGTTTTTACGGGTTAATGCACGAAACTTTATTTATTGACGTTTCGTATTCTGACGACGTAGCCTGTAAAGGCTACGAAACGTCAATAAATAAATAAAGTTTCGTGCATTAACCCGTAAAAACCAGTTATTTCTTTCTCGTGAGTACTCAAAATCTGGCAGGCTCGGTTTCCATCAATTTGAGGTAAGTACATGCTGTGTTTACTTCAATCTTAGTCTGTGGGTGTACGCGTGTAATAATTTGTTTCCCATACAAACTTTCAGCCCCCTTAGCACCTCTTTATAGGATGATTTATTGGGATTAAAACTCAAACTATCTCCATAAGAAACTTCATCAAAATCGGTTCAGCGTAAAGAGGTAACAGATAGACACACTTTCGCATTAGTATTATTGTAATTATAAAATATCAGGAGAACACATCAACAGCAAATGGACCGCAAGCAACCCAATAACTGTCAGTTTCCATAGGGATGGAATAGGGAGATTGGGCCCACCCACTACGCGGCCCAGTGCGGATTAGTGGGTTCTAACGACTGCAGATGCAGCAGGATCAGCGGTTTTACGTGCGTTCCGAACCTTGGTCACCCATCCAATGACCGACCATTGAGAAAGCTGCTTTACTTCCACGATCGCAGGCCGAACTCTACTAGCTCCACGTTTTAGACTATGTGAAAATGCTACAGCGCAGGTTTAGTTGTCTAAGGTTTAACTCAAGCAGTTTGCCGGGGTGTATACCTCAATAAAGGTTGATCTCAGATTGTCTAGGTCGCAGTGTCACTAACCCCCATTAATGAGCAGATGTCAGTCAAAACAAAGCCAACAAAAGAAAATACAACAATAATCTTCAATATATTTATTAAATAAACGTACCAAGTATTGGCTGCACCTGCTACATTAACAATTGTTCTCTAAACAAATAATGTTAATATTAACAATTGTTCTCTAAACTAATAATGTTAACATTAACAATTGTTCTCTAAACTAATAATGTTAACATTAACAATTGTTCTCTAAACTAATAATGTTAATATTAACAATTGTTCTCTAAACTAAAAATGTTAACAAAAAACTTCTATGCTACACTTCTGACAGCTCCGGCATCAACTGACTTCAAGATTCTGTCTTCTATCAACCTCTTTATATTTGCATTGACTCTTGGCAAATCATTATCTTTACGGACTGAGGCCTCAATTCTCTGGACTTGCTGTATCTCTCTGGGCCACGCTATGAAGTTTGTGACAGTGCAGTTTTGGACGGACCCCAAACGCCCAGTGCGGCCGCAGCGGTGAATGTAGTCAGCGGTGTACAATGGAAAATCGTAGTTGATAATATGTTGTACCTGTGCACGAGATTTTATAATGAATAAAGGTCATAATACGTTGTACCGACACCGCTCCAATCTATTAACTTGACATTTATAATACGCACTTTGTGGTGATGCCTTTATTCCCAGTCGCCGTCGCGGGGTTTGCCACCGGAGGCAAATGGGAATTTCGTCATTGCTCACCGTTCTTTTTTTTTATTCCCATTTGCCTCCGGTGGCAACCACCGAGGGCTCCTTTAATGGAAATGTCGTCATTGCCCACACTTCAGTTTTTTTATTTCCATTTGCCTCCGGTGGCAAACCCCGTGGGGTTCATTTTTCCCAGTCGCCCCGCGAGGATAGCAATGGGAATGCCGTCATTGCCCATACTTTGGTATTTGATGGAAATTATTAAATTTAAATTATGTAATTTTATTAAATTAAATAAATGATTAGGTGTATTTTAAGTGACATGTGCCTATTTCTACAATAATTGATTATGCATTATTATTATGATCATGAGTTATGTTGCTCGAAATAAATGAATTTTATTTATTTATTTATTTTATTTAATTCTCATTTGCCTCCGGTGGCAATCCCCGAGGGCTCCTTTATTCCCAGTCGCCCCTGCGGGGATTGCCACCGGAGGCAAATGGGAATTTCGTTATTGCCCACCGTTCAGTTTTTTTTATTCCCATTTGCCTCCGGTTGCAACCCCCGAGGGCTTCTTTAGTGGAAATGTCGTCATTGCCCACACTTCAATTTTTTTATTTCTATTTGCCTCCGGTGGCAAACCCCGTGGGGTCCTTTTTTCCCAGTCGCCCCGCGAGGATAGCAACCGGAGGCAAATGGAAATGTCGTCATTGCCCACACTTCAGTTCTTTTTAGTCCCATTGGCCTCCGGTGGCAATCCCTGCGGGAGCGACTGGAAATAAAGGAAGTTAGGCAGAAGAACGTTTTTCGGGTCTGCCATTATAGTTAAAATAATGTTTTATACTTTTTCATATAACAGTAAAACGATGAAAAAAATGACCGAAATTCGAGGCGGTTGGTGCCGTACCCTTGTACATGTGCTGATGCCGTGATAATATGACACCGACCTAAACTGAATATTTTTTTTTCATTGTTTTAACGCACATTATAATATAAACCCATTCAAAAGTGATTTATTTAATTCTTTTCTTGACATAATTCTTTGATGAAATGGGTAAAAAAATAAAAGGACATACGATTTTATTAAACAATAGCTTAGGTTTAGGTAAAGTGGTGACCAAAATTCATGAAAATCGGCGTAAAGACGTAACAGACAAACAGACTAAGAAATCTTCCAATTTGTTTGGATTTTGTTAAAAAAATATAATAAAACTTACTCGTGTCGTGTCCAATCCACGCGACGCAATATCCGTCGATGATAGTACGTCCACCTTTCCACTTTTGAACATTTCAAACTTGCCTTCCTTCAGTGTTACTGCCATCTGCCCGTTAATGTTGACGCATTCAACTTTGTTCTCGTTCAAGAACATTGACACGAAGTCGCATGTGGCGGTTTTGTTTGAAAACACGATAACCGGTCGTTTCATATTAACATCGGCCTGGACCAATTTCAAAAGTTCCAACGGCTTCTGGGCTTTGCCTAGGCGCATAAACCTGAAACAAAGGTGAATTTTGTTATTATATTTTTTAAGAATTTAAGTGGCCGCTGGCAGTCCTTAAAAGTATAACAAAAAATATCATCAATGCAAAAAATTTTCGGATCAACATTTATCTACAGCCTTAATCCAAAATAGGAAGATCGACGGAAAAAGTTAATGAAATGACGACCACGTACAAACTTATCAATACTACTATGTCGCCTTATTTAATAGTAGCCTACCTAAGCAAAATAAACTGTAGGAGACAATAAACAATTTAGCTTTAAAAAAAATAAGACCTGTGGTACTAAGACATCGGAGGTAGCTGTAAGAGGAAATAAGGATATTTGTAATTTGTTCAATGACTGTTTTAAAATATTGGTTAAGAATTTGCAAAAAAGATACCAAGTCTTCCGCAACCTAAAATATAAACACTAATTGCCAATTTAGATAATAATACGACGACTGCACTGGATGGTATTAGTATAAAAGCAATTTAATGACTGAAAAGTGTAATCATTGATAAGCTAGTAAGCTGTATTAATGAGTGTTTGTTTAGTGCGCAATGCATTTCCCAATTCACTTAAAATCGCATAGGTAAGCCCTACTTACAAATCTGGCAACGAATATGACCCAACAAACTATAGGCCGGTATCAGTTCTTTCCGTAATTTCTATTTTTTTTTTTTGAGATTTTTCCAATGGTTTGAATATAATATTACCAAGAATAAAAATACTAAAAGATCAACAATACAGTTTCCAGCCTAAGTCTGAAAGTCTTAATGCTGTTGCTGATTTGATTACAATAATAAAAAAAAACAAAAATTGATCAGGAAAAACCAGTTTTACGTATTTTATAGACTTAAAAACATGTTACAACACAGTAAGTCACAAAAAGTAGCTTCAAAACAAAATTAAAAATAAAGGCTCTTAGCCCTTAGCACTTAATATTTTATGATCACATCTAGAAAGTAGTTCTTTAGTAACTTGCCTTCAGGCAATTCTTTTTAAGTGACGTGGAAATTGTGCATGGTTCTTTTTATAACACCTTGGTCAAAACTGTCAATGTCTGTAATAGGGATGATGACTAATTTTTTTTTCTTCGTTTATCATGTAGATTATCAAAAAGTATTGGACACATATTTTTTATTTTTTCACTTAATATAAACATTGCAGAGATATATTGATTTGAAAAGTCGCATGACGTCACGTTTGAGTACACTTAAGTGAAAATTCACTCACGTCACGTGACGTCAGTGACGTCACGAGCCCCTACTCCCAAACTTAACGCGCTATAACTTTGTCATTTTTTGGTTGATTGCCCAAAGAAAAAATATGGGTCCATTATTTTTTGATCATCTAACTGACGGACTAAATAGAATTTCGTTTACTGTACCCCGTCATCACCCCTATTGGTTTTTGTTAAATTATTTTGTTTTTGCCGGGCGTTCGGAAGACTGTAAGAAATTCCGAATCATTCGAACCTTTTACAATTCGTCTCACTGTAGACTCTGAACATTTTGTTGCCTCTGCGGTCCGTCTCATACATTGTTTTATATTAACAACTGCATTATTATCAGCCTCTCTCTTCATAAAACAATAAACGTCATAAATATTTTTTTCTTTCTTTTCTATGTAAAACCATTTCGTATTTTGAGAGCAAACGAAACGTGGGCACAACGCGATACCAATAGGGGTCCGACAAGCATGTAGCGTGTGAGCCACCCGCCCCGCGCCGCACCTCTTACCACCCAATAGCAGGGCTTGAAACCGGTTTCTAAAATACCGGTAAATATAGGTTAATACCGGTTTTTAGTAAAGGTTTCGTTCGGAGCGCGTCCGAAATGAAAGCGGTACCTAAAACCTTAATAAACCGGTTTAATCCAGAGCGACACGTGCACGCGTCGGTATCGCTTAAAGTTTGTTTTGTTTGAACTAATCAAGTCACAACTTGTTAATGCTCAGAGATTGATGCATTTATTGACACGATTGCCAGTGTCTAGTGAGTCCAGTTATTCATTTATTATCGATGCTGTCAGAAAGAGCGAAATGAAACCCTTTAAAAACCGCTAAATTGATTCAAAACCTATTTGATTTCGCTCTTTGGGAAAACCGGTTTTTTAAGGTTAAGTTAGAGCCAAACCTAAATAAAACGCTCCTAATGTACTTGACACTGATTTAGGTTTGAAAATTAACCGGTAAACAAGCCCTGCCAAATAGACCGATAAATCGCCTACTGCGCAGCCTAACCGCCAGCGTTCTTTTTACGCGACACGACCTGTACAAGATGATGGTGTGCCACCATGTATCATCATCATCATCCTCATCATCATCATCATCATCATCAGCCTATTAATGTCCCCACTGCTGGGGCGCAGGCCTTCCCTATGGATGGAATAGGGAGATTGGGCCATGACCCACCACGCGGGCCCAGTGCGGATTGGTGGGTGCTAACGACTGCAGATGCAGCCGGGACCAACGGCTTAACGTGCCTTCCGAAGCACGGAGGAGCTCGAGATAGAAGATTTTTTGGTCACCCATCCAATGACCAACCACTGCGAAAGTTGCTTAAATTCAACGATCACAGCCGAACGCGCTAACCACCTGCGCCATCGAGCTCCTCACCATGTATACGGAAGGAAATTTGAATTTTCGTGATTGATTAAGATTGCAGCAAAATATTTGTCGGCGCCAGGAAGTAGTGTTTATTCAGAGCGCCTTTTCTCTGAAGCTGGGATGGTCTATGAGAAAAATAGAAGTAAACTACTTCCTAAAAATGCAGAAAAGTTAGTCTTTCTCCACCATAACCTTCCCATTCTAAATTTTGATTATGAAAATAATTCAAATATATAGAAAAATCTTAACTTGTTTAATACAGAAAATGATTAAATTATGTACCTGTTTTATGTACCAATGACTACTCAATAAATGATTATAAAAGAAATGAGAACCTTACCATTTTAAATTTTGATTACCACAATAATTCAAATACATAGAAATCTCCATTTTTCCTATTCAGAAGATGATTATGTACCTGTGTTATGTACCAATGACTACTTAAATGATTATATATAACAGAAATGAAAATATGAATATAAACGTAATCAATCGATTTTCATTTTTCATTTTACCAATTATTTCTCTATGACAAAAAATATTATTTCAGTATTCGGTATTCGGCCGAATAATATGTACGTATTCAGTATTCGGCCGAATATAATAAAAGCAGCCAAATAGGCCGAATACTGAATAGTAACCGAATATTCGTTGCAAGTCTAATAATTATTATTGTTCTTCATATTTACTCACTTTTGTGGCACATGTGGAAGTATCTTGTGAATCCGAGAGGTGCTTATTGTCTTCAAAGATTCTGGAGTTACAAAGGACTGCACTGCTTCAGGTAATTCTTGAGGCATAGTTGCACTAACAAATGTCACTTGACAGCCAACAGGAGGTGTTTGAATTTCTACTTTGTATTGTATCTGTAAAAAAGTTAATTTATTGTAAATATTAGGATGTACAAAAGACACACAACGAAAAGTTAAATTAAGTAGGTTTGTATACAAATTTTGCTCCACAGATAGAATTTTGGTTTTTTTATCCTTGGAACAATTTGAATGACTAGTCTGCACAAAGAAAGTCTACAGACACATTCTAGAACTGTATAAATTACTCATTGGTAGGTACTTAAAATACATAATTATTATTAGAATTATAAAAAATCATGGTGCAAAGAAACACAATTGACATGTGTTAATTTGTCAATTTAACCCTAGATTCATAAACATTCATCTCACAGACCGCAAAAATCATGTAAACGCTTATAACTTTTAGAGTGAAAGAGATAGAAAGTTCAACTCCTTAGTACCTTCCTGGTTCATTAATGAATTAGTTTTGCGCCAGTCACACGCCAGGGCGCACATGTGTAAAAAGAGTTATAGTAATTAGATAGTCCGACAGACGAATGTTTATGAATAGTGTTACTATTGTAGATCAGGTGTGTTTATTTGAAGCCGTGATATATTCGAGAACTGGAGTATATTTCAAAGTAAATATTTATTATTATTATTAGTTTATAAAGATGAAATGAGTTATTTGCCTATTTTATCTATACTAATATTATAAAGAGGTAAATTTTGTGAGGTTGTAGGGGGTAATAATGCCAACTTTGAAGCGATGCCTAAAAAGGAAAATTGCAGAAGTACTTGGCGAAACTTCGTCCACTGATCAACCAAAACCCAGTGGATCACAGAAAAAAAATTTGTGCTTTCTGCAATTATAAAAAACGTCAAATGACAAGGTTCTTTTGTACCCAATGCAAAAAGTTCATGTGTATGGATCACCGAGGAATGTTATGTGTTGATTGCACGGAATAATTTTTTTTCATCATTTCTGTTTCATTTTACTATTAATTAATAAACAACTTTTAAAATTCAAATGTATTTCATTGAATTATTTTATTGTAGAGATCTAATATCATCGAAATAATATATACGTCTGAGAGACGAATGTTTATGAATAGTGTATCTCCCAAGTATGTTTATGAATCTAGGATTAATAATATTGATATCGGTTGGTAGGTTATCAGTAGAGGAATTATTTGTACAAACCGAAAATTTCTTCATAACATAGGACAACTTCTCAATGAAGCTGTCGTCTAGCAAACTGTCTGCTTCATCCAGAACTACATGATGAACATTATGTATCTTGAATATACCCGTTGTCACGAGTTTGCTGTAAGCACCAAGTGTGGTTACAAGCAAATCGCAATACTCAATAGGAGGATTAAGCATTTTCTGTTTTGTCTTTCCTCCGACAAGTGTTGTCACATTTAGATTCAGATTTTGAGCAATATTTTGGGCCACTTCTCCAATTTGGCTAGCTAGAAAAACATGGTTTACATTGAATAATTGCATGGTATGCATTAGATGTTATAGTCATGTGATCATTTTGAAATTAATAATACATTCCTTATTTAGATTCAATAGATCTAAACATGGTAGAAGTTTGAATGAAGTTCTGCTTGCAAAGCAGTAGGTGAGGCTCAGCTTTCCTTTATATGTAATTGAGTTGCAAGCTGAAATTTTTGTCACGCAAAGTGTTAACTATTAAAAACACGTACACGAAATCTTTTTAGGCGGAAACGAATAGAACTCTAAAAAAAAATTATTGAAAATTAATATTTTTGTAGGTTATGAGTCAATTTTGACAGCAATTTTGATCAGTGCTGCCATTTTTTTATGCAAAAATAACATGTTTCTCGTTGTCTATGGTAAATATAAGTTTATTATGTTGGTACTATTGTCAAAATGTGACAATTTACCGCCATTAATGAGATCTGCCAGTCAGTGTTTGTGTTCGTCGCAGTTGAGAGCTTTTTCGTACTCCTGTTGATATTAACGTCGTCTGACTACTATGGCATCCTCAAAGCCTTCGACCTCGAGTTCTGCTGGCCCTTCGCCTGAAGAGTCGAGTGTAGTGCGAGTTTTGGACTCTAATGAGCCGCTTGTGTGGTGATACTTCACTTAGGTTAGTGTTGTGACCTTAACGCGCGAGCCGAGCGAGCGAAGCGAGCGTGCCGCGGTAGCGGCCGGCGAAGCGCCAGAAAGAAAAATTCGTTAATAGAGACTTTTTCTACAAAAAAATCAAATATCATTTCTAGGCCCTGGAAGTACAGTTTTACCTTTAAAACCCCTCTAATTTTTTATAATTATCATTTCTGTAAAAAAACGAAGGAAGGGGGGAGGGGGATTTACCCTTCCCTCTGAGGGGTCTTCCCTAATACCTATCCCCCTGAAATTCCACTACATTTAACAGATTTAATGAATTTTTAGGTTAGGTAAAAAAAAAACTGCATTTCCGCCAAAAATCTTTTAAGGCGGGGGGGTCGGGGGGAGCCCCCCCTCCACCCCCCCCTACAAATTACCCCGAAATTCAATTACATATAATGGAATTAAGTACCATAGGTGAAATAACAAAAGCACAGATCTTGTTTCAGTAACAAAAATTTGAAAAGAAAGAAATATTACCAATTAAGGTTTTCTGCTCACCTAATTCTCTACTAGGCGTTATGACGACTGCTAGTGGACTATTAAACTCTTCAGGGACATTTGGTTTCCAATTTAGTATGTGCTGAAAAATGGGAAGCAAATAGCCAAGTGTTTTTCCACACCCTGTCTCTGCTGTTACTACGGTGTTATATCCCTTCAAAATAGCAGGTATAGCCTTCGCTTGTATCTCAGTGGGCAAGGAAAAGCCAGCATTTGACATAACCTCAACAAGTTCTGTGCACAAACCCACATCTTCGAAACTCTGCCTAAAAACAGACTTCTCTTCCTTCTTATTAGCGTCACCGTGAATAATAAAGTAGTCCCCTTTAGATTTAGCATGTAACCAACCTTTAGAAGATAATTGTATACCTTTAAACTTGCTGTATGTTTGACCTTCATAATGATTGAAGTCTGGACGCTTACATGATATAATCGGTAATTTCTTTTTTGTTTGTTGTGTACTATAGTATCTACAATACGAAACACTAAATAACCGTCGTAATCGAGACATAATAACTTCTTTAAAATTAAAAATTAGTAAAACTTATGAGAAGAATGCAGACCAAAACAAATATGACATTTTGTTTTTTTTTTTTTTTTGTTGAAGTTCTCCCGTTCTAGGGAAGGCAAAGGGAACAATGCCCATACAGCCTGGTCTTTAATTAAATTTATCTTCTTTTTATTTTTACATTAGAATGTCGGTGTGACGCATTCTCATGTTTCTTGGAGTGTTTGGCACGAAATGTATCGAGTTGGCTTTTTCGATAAGCTTCTGTGAGGTAGTCAACACTACAATAAAATTCTCACGTCCACTTGACCGGAATAGCGTATATTTTAATGATTCCGCTAATTCTTCAGTTACGCAGACAGTTGTTACACAAAACCACACCAATTTTATTTCACAATATCCACTATGAACGAATTTAAGAATAATTAAAATAAGACGCCAACCGCACTCGATGAAATCCCGCCAAAAAAGCCTTTGTTTTTTTTTTGTTGAAGTTCTCCCGTTTTAGGGAAGGCAAAGGGAACAATGCCCATACAGCCTGGTCTTTAATTAAATTAATCTTCTTTTTGTTTTTACATTAGAATGTCGGTGTGACGCATTCTAATGTTTCTTGGAGTGTTTGGCACGAAATGTATCGAGTTGGCTTTTTCGATAAGCTTCTGTGAGGTAGTCAACACTACAATAAAATTCTCACGTCCACTTGACCGGAATAGCGTATATTTTAATGATTCCACTAATTCTTCAGTTACGCAGACAGTTGTTACACAAAACCACACCAATTTTATTTCACAATATCCTCTATGAACGAATTTAAGAATAATTAAAATAAGACGCCAACCGCACTCGATGAAATCCCGCCAAAAAACCCCATTTTGTTTTTTTTAACTAAAAGGAAGGCAAATTATACTTTTTCATTCGGCCTAGTCTAGACATTTTTTCTCTTTTACTATATTTTCACAGTGTAGTCCGCGTGCTGTGGAATTTCTTAATTCACAAACATGTGGAATGTTTTCCACCGAACGGTTATTTTGCAGCAGTCGTGCAAGTGCTAATAGCTCCCCTAATAGTAGAAGTTTCTAATTTTTTATCCGATAGGTAAGTATGTTGTTTGAAAAGCCAAAATAATTTCTAAAATAAATTGGTGCTGTTCATCCAGCAAGCGCCCCTATAGCTCCGACTCTTGTATGTACACTTCGCACATAGGGACAACGCGGCACGGCGCTTTTTTAACACGACTACCCAAAAAAGATTGTGTTATGTATTCAGGGTTCATGTATGTATGAACAATTCTCCTAATTATTACAATTTAAGTATCATTTGCAATCTCATTAAGATCTATCAAATGATACAATATATAATGTAATGACCAATTTAAATATATACAAATATAGCAGCATTTATAAACGGGTTTACCTGTAAAACAAGATAAATACTAAAAATTGATTACTTCAAGCCAAGGACATAAAAAAACAAGTTTTTACTTTTTAGTTGTTACTCTTGCACGTCACCCGACACGCACTCCGAGCTCCGCCATGGTGATAAATTTATCCAGGCTGGAGCTCTGCATTAAGTATGAGCCTGGTCCCAGTCTGGGTCTCTTGGATGTGGGGCCTCCGGAAATCCCCACCATGGGCGGGCAGCGCGACCCTGAGTGAACAGAATATTTATTCATTCACACGTCAAACTTATAACTCCCCTTAGGGTACCTGCGCAGCCACGCGCACAAATGTATCCATTCCGTCACAGCCACAGCTGAACATCAAAACACGTCCAGGTACACGTACACCATCAGTTTGGGTCGCTTACTTTCATACTTTAGCCTCATAATGAGAGGAAGGCCAAAGTCTGGAAGAGCTAGTCGTCGAATAGAAGAGAGCTTGAGATAGCTCGCCAACTACATTGGCTGATTAAGTGAGAGCAGCAATCTTCACAAATTTTCATCATGCAGTGAGAGCAACCATGAATAGACACCGATGGAGATTGGATTTTCAAAAAAAAATATAAAAAAATAATACTCAAGAAAAACCAGTGCCCTTGAAGAGTACCTATCGTTTCGATTCCAGACTGATTAGGGACGAAAGTGATTTTGAGAAAAACATTTTTTAATCTAAAAAACTTGTTCAAATAAAAAAAATGTAGTAATAACGTACTTCACAGGCAATTATAGTTTACAATAAATAATACAAAATTAAAATGTACAATTGTATTGCAAATATAATGAATTTATGTTATTTTCTTTGACGTCATTACCTATATTCAATGGAAGTATATTTATTCAATTGATTAAACAATCATTATAATTATGCAGTTTCTTTATTTCATGTTATTGTTTAACGCTACACTACTTAAATCTAGTCCAGTCACAAGTTCTGTTACAAATAGATTATTCATTTCTTTGTCGCAATATCCTTTAAAAGAGGCGTGAAGAAGCATCTTGCAGGCCAGCAAGGTGACAATAGCTGATGTGGCAGGTGAAACTGCTGCACCAGCCTTTTTCGCTTCTGGGCTCCACTGTCAGTCACTTTGAACACAAATAACTACCTATTATTATTGTGAATAGTAGATTGTTAACCGAGGGTGGAAAGAATCAATTCCCGAGGTATTTAGACGCCCGAGTGCAGCGAGGGCGGCTATAGTCCGAGTAGGAATTGATTCTTTTACCCGAGTTAAACACTCTACTTTTCATTTCGAATATGAGGAAAATAAAACTAATTGTTTATCAAATATATTTATTCATAAATAGGTATATATATACCATAAAATTAGAAGTAGCTATTTAAAATTAATTGTTAAATTAGGATAATTAGTGAAATTTAAAGTAACATTCTTGTTTGGAATGTTTATGCTATTTCTTAACTATTTGTGTAAACTCTTCTTGTACTATAAACGAGCCCTCAATATTTGTTTTTTGTTTTAGTCAGTTTTACTAGTAATAATTCGCCTTCACTTTTAATGTCCATAATTGCTTCTGCAAGCGCCCCTTATACCGAGTACCACCTGTGAAAAATGTAATTTTTTAGTATTTGGGTAATAAATAAGTTCATTTTTAGAATAAATTATAAATACTTAGGTAAACTTACCTTCATTGCCAAATATAACTCGTCAAGAGCATCATTTAAATAAAAACCACTTCATTAGAGTTGAAAACCTTAGATTTCCTGCTCTTGAACCCCTGTTGTGTGACTGTCTTTTCAAAAATGATGTTAAATTATGGAATGTTTTCAAATTTACATTATTTTTTACACTACATAAGTGTACTCTTGAGCATTGAATATCGGCTCCATAGCGTAGAAGGCTGTAGTTTGCTAGACAGTCCATTAAAATATATAAGAAATACACTTTCGGAAAACGATTTTATATTCGTCTCTGCTCGCCACTTTTTAAAATCATTGTATGTATTCATATATCTCTCTTTTCACATTTCTGGCAAAAGATTCTCTATAACACAATTTGCCTCATCTTTAATTGAATCCGGTGTCAACATTTCTGAATCGGTTGAACTCATTTTTAATATTCAAAGTTGGATTGCTCTGTTTTACTTAAAAGATTATTATTACTTTTTTATTCCGTCACAGATACATAACAGTTTAGTATCCCGCCAATTTATGTCGACTTTTTAAATTTAAATATGGAACAGCGTAATTGTTGCGGCTTATTCCGCTCAAAGAAGTTTGTGCTAAGTTCACACTGGCTGTTTAGAAACTCACATCGCCGCAGCATTTTTTTTTACATAAAATCTTCACACCTGACAATAGTTCTATTTTTAAAGTTCATTCCAGCCCTTAGGCGGGAAGTAATTTGTATGAGTTTTTCCCTCTCTAGGGAGGGAAGCAGCATTTTCCACCCAACAAACAGATCAAAACAACACCACTTTCCGAGAATGAGAAATGAAAAATATATTGAGTGTCGGAAATACCGAAAATGTCGAAATTCGTAAGACCTAGACTATGTATATTTATTCATTATATTATACAAACTTTAAAAATTTATTGCTTCATATTCTTTTATGCATAAAATTTAAATAATTATCTAGCTTATGTTATAAAAGAAGATTATGAATTAAACTACTTAATTGGCATCGTTTCATCAAAGAGGCAAGTAAGTACTATTAAACTATTTTGTTTTTTGGTTCTTTTAAGCATTTTAAAATTCTTTAGATCCTTTTTTATCAAATCCCGTGCCGCCCTTGACCAGTACAAATTAAATCCACTCGAACACTAAGGGAATCCCAAAGATATTTTTTTGATAACCGCCACTGTAGTTTCCAGTTAGGTATCGTCACAATAAAAAAAAATCCTGAAATACGCAAGTCCAGGCCCAGTGGCCGTGTGTGCTGAACCCGTTAATTAACGATTCAGGTCAGTCTGAAGTCATTTTTGAACTTGATTTCTCTGTACCTATATCGGTATATAATAAAATAATACAGGGAATAAATAACCTTGCTGAGTTTCTTGCCGGTTCTTCTCGGTACAATGCCTCCCGCCTTAGATTAGCGAGCAGATGGCATAGCTTCTCGACCTTCACAAGTGCTTATTTTAACAGCTGAGATTAGACTGAATAATTGATATTGAATTGAAATCATAATCAAGAGCAGTCTTTCAGCACAACTGTACGGGACCTGACGGTTTTGCCTTCCATTTTTGTTTCAATGTAAGATTGTATTAGATTATATATTTTGATCTGCCAAAGGACAATGGGCAAAACGCACCCAGCTCCGCCAACAATGTAATTAGTATGAATCGATAGATCTATGAAAAACTAGCCTTTTTTATTATGGCACCAAAAAAAAATAACCTGGGGGTCAAAAGATATACACCTGGGTATGTTCTATATTAGGGGTTAAGGTTTCCGCACATAGTCCTTATAGACGACCTTTGTGTGTAAGTCATGGGGACCGGTTACACACGGGCATATTTAAATAGCTCCTTATAGAGAAGCTCGATGGCGCAGGTGGTTAGCGCGTTCGGTTGCGATCGTTGAAGTTAAGCAACTTCCGCAGTGGTCGGTCATTGGATGGGTGACCAAAAACATCTATCTCGAGTTCCTTCGTGCTTCGGAAGGCACGTTAAGCCGTTGTTCCCGGCTGCATCTGCAGTCGTTAGCACCCGCCAATCCGCACTGGGTCCGCGTGGTGGGTCATGGCCCAATCTCCCTATTTCATCCATAGGGAAGGCCTGTGCCCCAGCAGTGGGGACATTAATAGGCTGATGATGATGATATTTAAATAGCTAAAGAAATTCATTCAATATCAATAGTACTTTCGTTTTATAATATTAGCAATAATAAGTGAGTGAATCATATCTTACTGTACAACCAGATACAAAATACTAAACAACAAAGCCTACCGACTATCCTGCTTGCTTGCTGCTTGCACTTACTGATACTCCTCAAAACGTCTAACAGGGTATGGGGGTTGAAGGATGTGATATTGCAGTTGCCGTTGCAACTAGTCTACTCGTATGCAGTCCTATGTCTTACATTTTGTGCGCTCCCTGTTATTTCATTGATATTTAACTAACACGCTTTAGAAATAGGAACACGATTATCATCGCGTACGTCATTATAATCGTACGAGCTAATAAAAAATCTATGGATCAATTTAAATGCTTGTACTCAGCACACAAACATCTGCCCCCACCAGGATTCGAACCCGGGACCTCTCGAGCCAGCGACACCATGAAACCCGGCGTACAAACCACTCGACTCGGATATATTAATTGATGACCTCCGTGGTCGTCAATTAATATATCCGTTCTATATACTCGTCCTTGTATCTTTAAATATTATGTTCGTTATAGTTACTTTTACCTATGGAATTGTACCTATTTAACTTAAAATAACTAAAGACTCCCGGGATGGAATTTGATGCGCTTTGGCACAAATGATCATGACTATGATACCTTTCAAACAAATGTAGTTTAAGCCGTGGCGGACGTGGGTGCAGTGTCCATGCAATTTTTCCCATTGTCCTTTAGTTTTTTTTTTAATCCAACTCATATTAAGTTTTAATGCAACACTTGTTATAATGAGTGGCGTCTGCGTAAGAGTTCATTTTTAGGGCTCGCTTCTGCGATCTATGACGACATTGTGGATGGGTAGAGAGAAGGTCAGTGAAATGAAACATTATATTTTTGCATTGTGGCCGAAAGATTTTCAGCTATAAATAAGTAAAAATCTAGGAATATTTAAATTTTGGAAGATTACATAAAAAGTAAAAATTCCTACGTATTTTTGTTACCTAAAAAAATTATTTTAATTGAATCTAATCAGCTGTAAGACTTATTCAATAATTAGTTTTTCAAGAATATGACAATTTCACAAGCGGATCCGATGTGGATGGATATTTTAATGAGGTATCAGCGAAAGTAAAACTGGGTTAAGTGGTTGCCAGGTATTTGCATAATATTCTCTAACCACAGCGATCCCTAAACTTTTCTTGGGAAAAGGAAATTATGACCTAGATTGAGACATAGGATACTTACTATCCCGAAAAAATAAACGTACTGCAATCTGCTGTTTTTCCTCCCCTTCCGAAGATCGATCCGACCATCGATGATTTCTTTGATAAGACAATAAATCGACGCTGAATAAAATTGATTCGTTCAATATTTTTGTTAAGTTTGCCACTCTATAACCACTCTCACTATTGATAATTTAAATAGATAAGTCTAGAATCTACTATATTAAAACTAAGACAATGTTAAGACTTTTATGGTTCAAATACAATTTAGCATATCAGTATAACAGGGATGATGACGGGGTACAGTAAACGAAATTCTATTTAGTCCGTCAGTTAGATGATCAAAAAATAATGGACACGTATTTTTTCTTTCGGCAATCAACCAAAAAATGACAAAGTTATAGCGCGTCAAAGTTTGGGAGTAGGGGCAGTAGGGGCTCGTGACGTCACTTTTGAGTGAATTTTCTCTTATAAGTGTACTCAAACGTGACGTCATGCGACTTTTCAAATCAATATATCTCTGCAATGTTTATATTATGTGAAAAAAGAAAACAAATACGTGTCCAATACTTTTTGATAATCTACCTGATAAACGAAAAAAAAAATTAGTCATCATCCCTATTTCGGTCTGTCTGATTATAGTTATTTAAGGCCACTTGCTTGAACATTCTAATTTAAAATTCTTAAATCTTAACCAGTTGTTTAAAGCCAAATAGGACAAGAATAAAGTTTAAACAGCTTTTAGATATGAGAACTTTGGTGCAAGTAGGCCTTAAGTAACAACGTTGATAATTAAACCAGGAAAAATCTTAAAATATCATTAAACTTCCTTAATAAATACAATTGAACTAATTCTAACATGGGGATGCAATTCTACTTATGCCCAACCTATAAATAGACCTTTCTTAAACACAACTGTGACTTCGGTTAAGCACAGCTGAAATCTTACCTAGGCAACATTTGTTTTCAGGATGTCATTAAACGTAACATCGAGGTTGGGAGTGTACATTCTGAATTTATTATTTCAACTAGCGAAAGTTATTCTGATAGTACTGTCAACATTCCAACTGACCTCCTTTGACTATCCCAAAAGTGCTGATGTAACAGGTAAGTTTCAATTTAAAAGTCAACCCCTCAAAAGTGATATAAATTTTGTGTGTTTTTTTACATAAGAATGGATTTCAAGAACTATAAAATTTTGCTAAATTTTGTGGATTTTATTATTTTTCAAAAAATAAGAAAAAGTGATTTGTCTAAATGAGATAACAATGTATTTCTTTAAAATATAGTACAAAATATTGTTTTTAAAGCCTTAATATTTTGTATTATTTATGACACCGAAATTGTCACTACAGCAAAATTGTACTTTTTCCAGCATAATTAGAAATCATACCACCAAAATTTTAACATCCCACCAAAATTATAAATTGAAAATTTTGTCTAATTTAATATGAAAAATAAAATATATAAATGCACATAAACAATTTACAGCCTATCACCGTAAGGTGATTCATTTTAACTTGTAAATACGCATTAGCACGCGTTATAGTATACCCACCAAAATTATCAATTATTCGCGGACGAACCTTTCTGGCATGCTCTAAATAAAAATTAGAGTGCTACAAACGAAATAAAATTGTTAATAGTTGAAATAACTAGTATATTTTATGATTTTAATAACATAATTGCGAAAAACTTGCTCAATTTTGGACATAATTAACAAACACTTAAAATACGGTTTCTGGACACTCCACCAAACTTAAAAAAGAGAGGAAAGATATTTTTTTCCTCATGTATAACGTGGTTTATGCGGTAAATATATTTTGCTTCATAAAAATAACACAGCCTTTTACTAAACAAAAAATAAAAACATGTGTATTTGTAATTCCACGCTACTGTTTTTAGCCTCGTCGCGTAACTACTGTCTGGGAAAATCCCCCATATAAAAGACCGCACTACAAAGATTGGTCTCTTAAATTACAATGAGACATTTTTGTCATAGTACAACTCGTTTATTATGAAGCTTTGGGAAAAGGCCGGTCATCCAGTTTGTGGCCTGGGGGCCAATCGCCTAACGGAAATGCTATGGAAAACGCTAACGCTTACGATTTTATTTTGTTATTTCTAGCCGCTTGAGGTATTCAAATGCCTCGCGCTCTTTCTTTTTCTTTTGCATTGGCAAATAACAATATTAAAAAAAATGAGCGTGAGGTATTGGAAAACCTCAGGCGGCTAGAAATGACAATATAAAATCGTAAGCGTTAGCGTTTCCCAAAGCATTTCCGTTAGGCGATTGGCCCCCTGATATGAATTATTTGATGTTCATCACATACCTAAAGGTTACACGGCAGTGTTGCAATTACAAGCACTTTATAATCAAAAAAATTGAACTAAAAGAAATTTATTATTCTTCAATGAAGTATAATTTATAATCGTGTAATGGTATTTTTTGAAAAATTGTGTCTTAGATCAAAGTTTGGCAACATTTATAAAAATGGGTGCGTGTACTTATGTAGGCGCGTGAGAAGTTATTCTTCTTTGGCATCGTTTAAAATTAGTTTTTAATTGCATGCAAATAATTAATTACAATAAATTAATAAAAAGTCTGGAAAAGGACACAGTCAATAAAGTTCAGTTTTAATTTGAAAAAATAAATAAATAATCAAAATATTCAATTAAAATCGCTACTGAATATAATTTATTAGAACATATGTGATTTGCACTTGTATGAAACTCAAACACGTATTCCGAATATACAAACTAGAAAATTGTGGATAAATATTATAAATATGAATACCTATAACTGTTACTTTATTACAAAAAATAAAGATGTGGTTTTTGGGTCTACTACACCAATGGTCAAGAGATGGCGCTGTAGTCTCCTGAATCGCGCTTTGGTTCCGTTGTTCCAGATTAATAAATACTTTTGATAGGCCTTCACAATGCAGTCGTTAGCACCCACTAAATAGAGATTCTATTTCTATTTTGTTGGTAGATTTTCTTAATGTGCGGTAAACACAAAAGTAACAGCATGAAGTTGGTCGCTAAAGCGACCAACTTCATGCTGTTAATTTTTGTGTTACAGTGATGCGCGCGCATCTTAAAATTTCACTCTCATCATTTTTTTCATAACGCGCCTAAAGAAGTATAACTTCAATAACCGATTATCAGATGGGTGACCACACATTTATTATCACAATCTCCTTCGTGCTTTAGAAGTCAAATTAAGGGGTTTGGTCCCGGCTGCATCTGCAATTGATAACACCCGCCAATTCGCACAAGGCCAATCTCCCTATTTCATTCATGGGAAAGGTATGCAGTCCTGTACCCCAGAAGTGGCAATATTTAAAGACTGATCATAGTATTTTTAATAATTTCATCAGATGGTGCCACGTACGACTTCATCATCATAGGAGCCGGGTCGGCGGGTTGTGTAGTCGCTAACAGGCTTACAGAAATCAACGACTTGCGTGTACTCCTTATAGAGGCTGGGGATGACCCAGGGATTGATTCCTATGTAACTATTATTATTAAATGTTGTTCCGAAATTTGTAAGTAAGTAGTAGAGTAATTTGAGTCCCGTCAAAAACATAAAATTAAATGTGAAATGACAGCCAAGTTCAATATTACGTTAAATGACTTTAAACTACAAAAGAAAGGAGATCAAAATGAGTTCAATTTGGCTTGTTCTCATATACGCCCGCCGAATACTTACATGTATTTATGTATGTAAAACAAAATGATTTCTATACTCAGTGTTGGAAAGTCTATCCTCGTATAGTCGTTTTGAAACGATTATGAGTGAAATCCATTAATCAAAATAATTCATTTATTTACAGGTCCCTGGATTATTTCCTTTTGTCCTTCCTGATTGGAATTACTACACTGTGAACGATGGATACTCGAGTCAAGCAACAACCACCAAAAATATCCATTTGATTAGAGGTAAATCACTAGGTGGTTCAAGTTCTAGTAATTATGAATTACACGTTCGAGGAAATAAGGCAGATTTTGACAGTTGGGAGGAAAAGGGCAACATTGGTTGGAATTGGAAAAACGCAACTTATTATTTCAAGAAAAGTGAAAGACTTAATAGTCAGGCTATAATGGCTAGTCAGTCAGCAGTTTTACACAATACAGAGGGATATTTAGGCATCATCAGACCTTTTTGGAAGGAGAGATCAGAAAATTATCTCCAAGCATTCAGCGAAAATGGCCATGATACACTATTGGACTACAATGGATTTCAGCAACTAGGGTATGCCGAGTCACAGTTTACAATTGACGACAATACTCGCCAAAGTACAGCTTATTCTTTTATAAGACCAATTAAAAATCGAAATAATTTACACATACTTAAAAAATCTCTAGCACGAAAAATATTGTTTGAAAATAAAGTAGCCGCTGGTGTTGAAATAAAATTGAACAGTGGGCAAATTATACACGTAAAATCCAAAAAGGAAATTATATGTTCGGCAGGTGCTGTGAATACACCAAAATTGCTAATGTTATCTGGAATTGGTCCTAAAAAGCATTTAAGTGACCATAATATCAATGTACTGATTGATTCCCCTAATGTTGGTGAAAACCTTCAGGATCATGTTGCTGTATCGGTGATGCTTACTGGCAAAAAAAATCCAATATCAGTTATTCAAAACTTAGATATTGTAAGAAATATAAACGTATATCCAAACCCAGTTATTATGGGTTTCGTAGCTCTAAATAAAAATCAGAGCTATCCTGACTATCAAGCAATAGTATTACCCTGTCCTGTTGGGACGCCCATAACGACTGCTTTCACTTCGTTTGTTTTTAATTTAAATGACGATATATCTGCTTCTTTTCTTGAAGCGGCAAAGAAAACCGAATCTCTGTTTGGTCCTATTGTTCTTTTACACCCTGAATCTAGAGGTAAAATTAAACTAAAAAGTAAAAATCCTGAAGATGATCCATTAATATACACTGGGTTCTTTTCAAAGGAAAGTGATTTAGACAAGTACGTTGATATTATGATGGATTTTGTGAGTGTCATTAACACAACATATTTCAGAAATGTTAACTCGGATGTAGTGAAAGTAGATATTAAGCAGTGCGAAGGCTTAAAGTTTAAGAGTCGTGAATATTGGAAATGCTACTCCTTGTATATGGCAGGAAGCTTGTACCACACAGTGGGTACTTGTGCTATGGGACCGCAAGGCGAGGGAGTGGTTGATGAAAGACTGAGAGTGCGAGGTGTTAACGGACTAAGGGTTGTTGATGCTAGTGTAATGCCAACAATCACAAGTGGCAATACCAATGCTCCGACGATTATGATAGCAGAAAAAGCCTCAGATTTAATCAAAGAAGATCACAACTTATTATAGAATGAATACGTAAACATGAATATAACATTGTAATTTATTTTAGTATAAGTACTGCAGTCATGTTTTTGTTCATAACTGAGTGTGTTAAATTGTTATTGTCTGCGCAACTGAAGAATTAGTGGAATCTTTATAATATACGCTATTTCGGTAAGCGGGTGTGAGAACTTGTAGTGTTAACTATCTCACATTACTTCTTCATCTTTTAGATTTTAGTTTTTATGGACAAATTTTATTGACAATATTTGTAATCGTATTGGTAATGCATCCTAAATTGAGTTAATTTATTTTTATAGATTTTTAATTGACATTTGCTTACATTGACATTGTTTTTTCTTTTGTTTGTTTGACATTTTTATATAGTTTACAACACTAATATAATATTGTTAATAATTAATGTAATTTTATAAGAATTTATTGTTAGCTTGAAAGGACGACTACACGATTTAATTAGGTATATACCTGTTATAATGGTGTAATGTATTTTGAATAAATAAATAAAATATATCTTTAAATACAATTCGTGCCAAACACTCCAAGAAACATTAGAATGAGTCACACCGACATTCTTATATATAAAAAAAAGAAAATTAATAAAACTGAAATGTAGGCTGCATGGGCAGTGTTCCCTTTGCCTTCCCTAAAAAGGGGAGAATCTTAAAAAATAATAATAATTATTGACGTATTGACAAACGATGAGAGTTGCCACAAAAAATAATTTACCCATAAATAGGGCATTTGTCAACTTTCTAAATATTATCTTACATTATTTATTAATAATTTATGGACTCCTAAAAAGTAGTTGTTTATTATCCTGTTGCGCATTTCAGTAAACAAAACTTATTTCTTAAAACTTTGGGTAATATGGCGTGTTTACCTGTGTGTGACGTTGTACAGCTGTCATTTAAACGTCAAATTGTATAACTAATGTCACTTTGACCGGAAGTTTACATGTGCGTGACGCAAGGAACTTACATTCTACGGATAGAATATAAGTTCCTTGATGTGGCGTCATTTTCGGCTCCACCAGTTCCAGGCGTTTTCGGTCAGATATAATCTTTTTCGTGACTTTCTTTAAAAAAATCTCGCTCGTATGCGTCCGTCACGCATTAAGACATTATTTGCTACTCCAAGTAATCGTATTAAGGCAGGAATCCGTCCACCTGTATATCGCCTGCTTGAAACCTATATTAAAAATTTTCACACCCTGGACATTTATGCAAGTAAAGCTGGTTAATATAGAAGACACATTAGCAAGATTTTATCGGAAAATCAATGAAAGTCGTTCTCACATACACACACACACACACACATAAATATACAACTTATTATTACATAAAAAACTGTTGGTATGGTGGACATCTTAACCCTAATTGATCTAATTTTGTATTTACTTACATTAGAATTATTAATTCTTATTGTTATGCTTGTAATTAACTATACGAGTAATTACGTTTCACTGAAATTGTAATTTAAAAATATTAGTGACCATTGATTTTTGAATTTGTAATGATCAATCTATTTATTAGTTTTACTTGAACATTAAATCACCCGATTATCATATTGTATAAAGTAAAGTATTGATTAAATATAGTATTATTTAACATTCTAAAGACAAAACAGAAAGTGACCTGGTAAAATTATACCAATTCACGAGTAGGTAAAAATTATATTCTCTTTGGCAAGGAAGTTTTGCAAAAAGTAAGTTCTTATTTCTTTATAAAATTAGAAGATGACTGTAGTTATTTAATTTGAAAAATGATTTTTTAGTCTATGCTTTTTAAACACTCAAAACGCTGTCCGCCATGATTGTGACGTCAACAAATTAGTAAATGTGTTAGAAAACAACTAAACGTCATTGTTGTGTTACTGTGGTGTCTTTCGTTGGACTAAAATATATCTAAAAAACTTACATCTAGTAAAAAAAATCCGTTTTATGGTTTTGTTGACTAAATTTATGTTGGACGCCGGATGTGTGAAAACAGAAACGACAAAACTCTTTGACTTAGTAGGTAGATTCATTCACCTTAACCTAAACTTTAAATATTATTCAATGAGTACTCACATTAAAGTGATCTTTGCTAAAAGAAATGACTTTCAGACGGTATAATTACAGGATTTAGCGAGTGTTAAACATGATCGTGTTCATGTGTAGGTATGTGTATTTCTCTAGACAATTTAAACCACAACTTTTCCTGGAGTTTTTAACGATGTGTTTCTACATTCTCGTATAATACAATCATGATAATTATTATATTTATCATGAAATCTATTAGAAATCATGGTTTTATAATATAAATTTAGATTCAGGATATTTCCTACGTGCTTCCGAATGTTTGTTTACGATTTTCTTGACGTCATAGCATAGATAATCTATAAACTAAAATGGCCGACAGCGTTTTTGTATGTCCATGAAAAATCTATTTTAAAATTAAAGTTTTGTAGCTTTCTAGCTAAAAAAAATACATTGTTTTCGGGCTAATAGAACAATTATTAACCATTTAAAACATTATACATATTAACCAAAAAGTGTCAAGTACCCTATTTTCTAATTTAAAAGACAGCAAAATTATCAAACTTCTGATACGGAATGGCGTAAGCTTCTGAATAGAAATAAATTGCGTCGTTTAGTGGCACCACACCACTGAAAAGTTATGGGCAAGTGTTAGCTTGAAATGCGGTGATGGTTCACAAATGTTGGCAAATATATGTTCGTATGTTTTAATATTCTGAGCATACCACACTTATCTGCAAACGTGGAACGAATATAATCGTCAATCAATTCATTGAAAAGTAAGCAGCGCAACAAACTCTCCACTGAATCAATTATTGGTCTTCTCCACACAAAAAGATGTATTGAAGATATTATTCAACCTCGTTATAATTTTAATATTCCTATTTTTTTTTCCTAAATAGCAAGTAAGAAGTGGTATGAAATTGAATATATAGCAATCACTTTACCTTGTTTCGTTTTTAGTAATTTATTTTAATTTAAAAATTACTGTTGTTTTATCTTGCCAAGAAATCCCCCTATTTCTTCCGATTAATACAAGGAAATTTACCCGATTTTTAAATATTCACTTTTACTGCAACACTGCTGCAACACTGCTGTAATCTATGGTCAATTGCAAACATGAATCTGTCAATAACTCAATAAAATTGTTGATCTGATTCTGCAATCTAAAGATTCTATTTAAATTAAATGCGAATATATGTTTTTTCTCTCAATTAATGAATGTACTATAAATTATTATTATTGTAAAAAAATAACAAGAAGTATTTGACTTTCCCTGTTCATTTAAACTCAAAATGACGAATCTAGATGTGAGTACTTTTTCACCTTTAATTATGTACACAATTCTTGGATAAATGTGCTGAATCTATGTATCTACTTGTGCGATTTGTGATTTATTGCATACCTGAAAGAGAAGTTTATAAAATTACACTATCTCATTGTTCTGCCTTATTTATTTTTAGGTAAACGATAGCACAACTGATAGTAGCTCGGGCTCTTCTTCAGATTCCAGTAGTAGCGGTAGTTCGTCAACCAGCTCAGGATCTGGGTCTTCAAGCTCTGACTCTGAATCATCGACTTCAGATACCCCACAAGCAGCTGCAGCTCCACCTCCAAAGTCACCAACGAAATCCACCGAAGAACCTAAAAAGAAAGAAGAACCAAAACAACAGAGACGCCCATCTAAAAGTAACAAAGTATCCTCATCAAGTGATGATGATACTCCTAAAGTTGTTAGTCCCAAACCCCTTCCACCAAGAAGAAGGTGTTCTGCAAAGCCTAAATCTGCTGCTACAGTACTTGCAAAGGGCAAACCTGCTCCTCGTGTACCAGTTGGGGCAAAAACACCTAAACCTACTCCAAAGAGCACATCAAAGCCTGCTTCAAAATCAGATCAGAAAAAGAAAAGTATTTTCTCACCAGACAACAGCTCGGAATCAGACTCTGAAAGCAAGTCACCTAAAAGCCCTAAAGCTTCACCAAAACCCAAAAGAGGGTCAAGAAAATCTAGTGATGAAAAAGAAGCAACTATAGAAAACGAGGACAAAAGCAGTAAAGACAATGCTAAACGTAGAAGCAGCAACCGTTCAAGCGGTCCTCCTCCAAAAAAGGTTGTAGAAGAGAAGCAAAGTGCATCCTCATGTTCATCCAGCCAATCTTCTGTTGAATCAGTGTCTTCAGAAAGTGACAGTGAGCCAACTCCTAAAAAAGAACCTCCTTTGAAAACAGGCAAAACTAAACCACCTTCCAGTGCCAGTAGCAAAGTAAGTATGAATAATATTAATTCTTCTTATACTCATATGATTCACAGTTATTGTCTTCTTATGAACTTAACTTAGGCCAACTTGTGCAAAGTTGAATGAATATAATTTATTGCACTTAAAAACGGTTTGTTATAGGTTCAGTTAAGGATACAAAGGTAAAAGGCTGCATTATTGCTGCCAGCCAACTCAAAAACAATAAGTTCACAATCATTGTCATCATCCTATTAATATCCCCACTGCTGGGTCACAGGCTTTCCCTTTGGATGAAATAGGGAGATTGGGCCATGACCCACTATGCGGGCCCAGTGCGGATTGGCAGGTGCTAACCACTGCAGATGCAGCCAGAATCAACAGCTTAACATACCTTCTGAAGCATGGAAAAAATGGACCACTGCGAAAGTTTGCTTCAACGATCGCAGCTGAACATGCTAACCACTCGTGCCATCAAGCTCCTCTCAAGTTCACCATATTAATACATAATCATGATTATAGTGTTATACTCCCTATATTTACTTTAAACTTTGCTGCCTTATTACAGCAGACTAAAATTAGTCATGGTTTAAACCTTATGCTGTCTGTCTTTTTTAGCAAACACAAGTGACAGTTTTAACTTTAGTCAAAGTTTTGTAATAAGGTGGTAGATGTTTTAAATTTGGTTTAGTATCACCATTTGCATTCATCAATAAATTGTTAACATTGATAAATGCTAAAAATGGATATTGTCAGGGCCACATGTTACTCTATATATAGTATAAAACTCAAAGGTGACTGACTGACATAGTGATCTATCAACGCACAGCCCAAACCACTGGACGGATTGGGCTGAAATTTGGCATGCAGGTAGATGTTATGACATAGGCATCCGCTAAGAAATAGATTTTGATCAATTCTTCGCCCAAGGGGATAAAATAGGTAATGAAAGTTTGTATGAACCTTTGTCAATTTTAAACTGATCGGGCTGAGACTTTGCATGCAGGTATAAGAAGAATCATAGATGAATGTCGTTGTGTATAATACAAGCCTGAGAACAAAAACTGTAGTCTACACTTCAGCTCTACACCGAAGTGAAGCGAGGGCGGACCGCTAGTTACTCATATGCATAGACATGATGATCTCTGTAGCAGCAAATATTGTATTTTTTTGGATAGTGTATGTGATATTCTTTTATGTTATATGTAATTAGTAATTTTATGAAAATACTTTTCCCCCAGCAGGAAACCTCTGGCAAACCAGATGACTCAGACACATCTACCATGCCCAGAAAATTGACTAGATCACTATCAGCCCGTGTTTCAAGATTGGCAACTGTCTCCCGACCAACCCATACTGACACAGATTCAGAAGCTGATGATAAGCCTAATGACTCAAAGATGTAAGTATGATATTATATCTAAAGAAAATTTTACTAGAAAAATTCTGACCAGTCCAGTTTTCAGACAAGATTCAAACCCGCATCTTCTGCTATCTTTTGCCCAGATAGAAATTTTTTCCTCTTTTTTTAAAAATTGCCTTTTTTTATTGGAAAAATGTAACATTTTTTTTCTCCATTTTAACAATCTGAACTCCTTTGTATGTTATACGTTATAGTGGAAACTTTACTGATGTTTGTTAATTAGATCTTATTTTATTGTTTGTTTCCCAAATAAAATATTCAAATCTGATCCAAACCTGGAGGCCTACTCTATTTCAACGAAAAACGAAATTTCGATCGAAATTTCGCACGTTCCCTACTCTGTTTCCTTTTCATTTCGAAAATTCTTTTGACAATTAAATTCTCCAAGCCTACTCTAATTCACAAAACTTTCGAAGGAAAAGTTGAATTGGACAGATAATTGTTCGAAATTTTAACCTCAAATCGACGAAATGAAAAGTGTTACCTTTTCATTTTCGTTTTGAGATTTTTGTTTTAATTAAGCCTAAAATACTTGCAAGAGTATTTTTAATAATAGCTGCTTAGCTCGAGAAACATTTTTAGCATGTAAAATTAACAAATAAACCATTTTTTTTTGTAATTTCGATACTTCAAAGTATTAAACGACAAATTGAGGTTGACATACAGTACATTGTATCGACTCTACAAATTAGTCGGCTAACACTGTCAAAGAAGGTTCTTTCAATGTCACCAAAAAATTTGCCGTAAACTACCTTTTGTTTCCAAGTAAAAAAACGTTTTCTTAAAAGTAGAGATAAAAAGAACTCAAAGACATGACTCATTCCATTCGTTCACGAAAACTGTTTAAGGTTCCGAAGTTAATGTGCCTGTTCGAAAATGAAATAGAGTAGAAACACTGGCGAAATTTCGATTGAAATTCGTTCGTTACCGAAATTTCGTTTCGGAGAAAGAGAGTAGAGCTCCTGGACCGAGTGGATATTTGACTAGTAAAATTTTCTTTAGATTTAAACATGTAGCAGTTTAATAATGCTATTATTTTAAGCTATTATGGTTAAACACTGATAGATTACAGGCCCATGGTAAAAATTGATGGGTCATTTGAACCACCAGAAGACTTATTTAGAAAGATAGAAGGACATTAAATAATAATATTCAGCACTATGCTGTCACTTGTAAGCTGTCCAACTGAGTGCAGGTGAGAATTCAAAAGTACAGATAGAGGGAGTACATTTTGGTCATATATTTTTGTACGGCATTACCATCGATATATCCATGAAAAATAATGAGAAAACACGTAGTGCCGTACAAAAATAGTGCACCACAAAGTCGTGAAAATTTTTGATGTTCCAATTATTTTCAGGGTTTTGGTCATTTGATTCTGTACGCAATTGGTACCGTACAGTTTTAATACCTGTCCTAATTCACTATTTCGCAATGCCGTACAAAAATCATGCGACAAGGGTGAAAAATCGAGGATTGCAACTCCCTTCCCTTCCATGGTCCACGGGGTGATTTGAAAAAGTATGGTTCCAAAACATTATGTAGCACTGAAAAATACTATTAAAAATAATGCTGTCAAAAAATTATTGTTCGTCATAAAAATTGTTGTTATATGACACTGATTTCTATTTACCTCGTGTCATATATAGAGACTGCTAAATCTCGAACGCTAGTTTCCATACGTTAGGCAACCCTGCGCGGCGTATAAAGAAATCTTCAGACGCGAATATAGGAATTGGGTCGATTTTTTCAAATCCGCGAATAGTGAAAGCGCTAATAAAATTAGCGTGAATAAGGAGCTTTTACTGTATATGTATATTGGATGGAATTCAAAATTTCTTTTTAATGTCGAGCTCCTCCGTGCATCGAAAGGCACGTTAAGTCCCGGCTGCATCTGTAGTTATTAGCACCCACCAATCAGCACTGGGCCCGCGTGGAGGGCATTGCACAATCTCCCTATTACATCCATAGACGACCTCCGTGGCCGAGTGGTACGCCGAGTTTCAAGGTGTCGCCTACTCGAGAGGTCCCAGGTTCGGATCCCGGTGGGGGCAGATGTTTGTGTGATGAATACGAGCATTTTTACTCCAATCTTGGATGTTTAATATGTAAGTATATCTCTATAAGTATATAGAAATATACTTATATATGTATCAGTATATGTATTCTATCCGTTACCCTAGTATCCCATAACACAAGCCTACAGAGCTTACTTTGGGGCTATGCTAATTGGTGTGTGGAAGTGTTGGATTTTTTTTTATTTTATTATAAGGAAAGCCTCCGCCCTAGCAGTAGGGGTCATTAATAGGCTTATGATGATGATGATGATTCTAACAACATGCTTTCAGCCTCAAAGATAGCAACAAGAAGAACATCAAAGGCCGTCCACCGGTAATGAAGTCTCCAGTCACGGCGCCGCCGCCCCCTGAGCCGTCCGAGAGGCGGTGCACTGTGCGCGGCTGTGATTCCACGGGACATTTAGGTAAATATTGTTTTAAACTTTGAAAGGGCAGACGGGCAAGCTTTTCTCCATACAAACGTTCTCGACGTTAATTTTTATCACTAAAGAATTGATTTACCTACATAAAATATAATTTTCTCATTCTATGCTCCTATGACTTCCTATTTTCGATAACTTGTGTTTTAAAGAAACTAGAAGCCCTTGAAAAGGCCAAAAATAATCAATTTTTTATCACCACTATAGACGTCCAGTGTGGAGAATTAATAAGCATTTTTAATTAAAAAAGCAAAACATAGAGGCATAGTATAACTACTTATTATTCTTTGTGTACAATTTCTTTTGCATATATCTAATTTTCGAGGAGGAAATCGTCGAGAGCCAGATCTCGAATTATGCAATTTTATACGCAACTATCTGACCCAGCGAACTTCGTACCGCCATAAAAAAATAGGGGTTGGCGGTAGAAAGTTGAAAATTTAAGGATGTACGTATTTTTTTTTTATATATTTTTTTATGATACGTCATACGATGTATCATAAAAAAATATAAAAAAAAATTATCTAAAATGGAAAAAAAATTTAGAGGTGGATTACCCTTAACATTTAGGGGGATGAAAAATAGATGTTGTCCGATTCTCAGACCTACCTAATATGCACACAAAATTTCATGAGAATCGGGAAAGCCGTTTCGGAGGAGTTTAACCACAAACACCGCGACACGAGAATTTTATATATAAGATTTTTAGCGTTAACTACTGTTGTCCCTATCGCACGGTATTTGCTAATGCGTGACAGCAATAGGTTTTTTAAATACCTATTTCTTAAATGTATCTCGGCTCGCTTCCGCTCTTAATGGTCATACCTTTAAAGTAATTAGATGGATTGCTGCTACCATGTACCTTATTAATGGTTCCGTACCTCAATCGGCGAAAACGGAACCCTCAAAGGATCACTTGGTTTACTGTCTGTCACAGTCCGTTTGCTCGGAATCTATTTGACCAATCAGTTGAAATTTCAAACACGTACGAATAAGTAAATATATTCTGAATATGGGGGTCACCTTTTGGGTTACCGTGCTATATATCAAATAAAAGGGCTCAATTTGAAGTTTTTTCATTTTTTTTTTGGTTTATAATTGACAAAGTTTCATACAAATTTTCATTCCCTATTTTATCCCCTTGGGGGTAGAATTGATCAAAATCCTTTCTTAGCGGATGCCTACGTCATAACATCTACCTGCATGCCAAATTTCAGGCCGATCCGTCCAGTGGTTTGGGCTGTGCGTTGATAGAACACTATGTTAGTCAGTCACCTTTGAGTTTTATATATATAGATTTTTTAATTACTAAAGAGAGTCCATAAAAGGTGGATATTTATAATGCTAATAAGTATTTCAGTAAAAATACGAATATAAAAATTGTGTATTTAAATATGACGCGGATAGGTTTCCCTAGCAAATATGGTGTCTACAGGCAGGTGACATCGCATGGCTCTCATTAAAACGTCAAACAGTACAAATTAATGTCACTTCGACAGCATGTTTACAAGCAGGTGACGTGAGAGGCTCCGCCAATCCTATACGTTTTCGGTCACGTGATAATAGATCAAAAATACTTTTCTATTTAGTAGTCCTTTTAGTAATAATATCTACTACTTTTTTATCAGAACACTGTAATCTCTCCCAATATTCACGGACAACAATTGGCACTTTATTTTTCATATTGTCCAATAGCCTTTTGTGAAGGTGATCGATCAATCAATATAGAGCTATGCTTTGCTTATGTTAGAAAATGAACATAGCTAACCGACGTGCAGTGTATCAAAGAACTGAATGCCATTTAAACCAGGGCTTGAAACCGGTTTCGAAAATACCGGTAAATAAAGGTTAATACCGGTTTTTAGTAAAGGTTTCGTTCGGAGCGCGTCCGAAATGAAAGCGGTATCTAAAACCTTAATAAACCGGTTTAATCCAGAGCGACACGTGCACGAGTCGGCATCGCTTGAAGTTTGTTTTGTTTGAACTAATCAAATCACAACTTGTTAATGCTCAGAGATTGATGCATTTAATGACACGTTTGCTAGCGTCTAGTGAGTCAAATTATTCATTTATTATCGATGCCGTCAGTAAGAGCGACATGAAACCCTTTAAAAATCGCTAAATTGATTTAAAACCTATTTGGTACGTACTTACCGGTTTTTTAAGGGTAAGGTAGAGCCAAACCTAAAGAAAACGCTCCTAATGTACTTGGCACTGATTTAGGTTTAAAAAGTAACCGGTAAACACTGACACACTGATTTAAACTCACGTATTGTCGTGCTCTATTTTTATAGCACAACCAGAAACTGAAAATAATTTATTCAGTTTAGGCTGTTACAAGCAATCTTGAATCTCTAGGAGCTACGCCATTGGTTTGTAAATCTACGGCGGGAGACCTTGTACTGGAAAGAACCGGCAAGAAACTTAGCAAGAGCTGTTTTTTTCTGCCTATATTATTATTTAAGAGCCGTCAAATATAAAAATGACTTCAGAGATGATTCATGAGATTACCTTTCATATTATTATGTGAAAAACTGATTTATTGTTCACCTGCATTTTGATTGCTGTGCCGTACAGTATGAATATAAATACTGTTATTTATGTCAGGTATAACTAGATCTCATTTAATAGCAGAGTAGTTGATGCGGACTCATCTCATCGAAGAAAATGACAGTAACAATTTAAATCAAACTCAAAAATCAACGTCTCTGAATACGGTTGTAATCGAACTTGTGAATTTTGGTGGTAAAGTGAGTTCACATGGGACGCTTGCCCCCATTACCACAACTTGACAAGCGCGTGGCGGCGGAAGACGGCAAGACAATGCTGTTAATTTTCTGAAAAACTCTGTCATTTGAATAACAGAAATTGACTGTGAAGTCAATGAGGGTGTTTAGGAAAATTTACGTCACCAGTTGGCGCCACTGTGACATGAGGTCTTTCGTATGAAGATCTTGACGCGAACGAATCGAACAAGCATTTAAATTGATCCATAGACTATGAAGACATACGCGATTTGACGAATGAGTAGACCTTTCGTCCCAGTGCTGCGACCAGCCGGCCTATTCGCTAACTGCTTTTGACAGATGGAAATAATAATCACCGTGCTACTTAGTGATCTACTACTGCTTTATTATACTCCACTCCACTAAGATACTTGTTCTGTAAAGCATCAATGAATAGGAAATTTTCTCTTTAGTTACACACTGTAAATAAAAATAAAATATTTTTTTAATACTCACACCAATTAGCCTAGCCTCAAAGTAAGCACTGTAAGGCTTGTGTTATGGGATACTAGGGTAACGGATACAATACATATACATATATATAAGTAACTGTCAAAAAAGCGAGCTATCAGGCCGGCTGGTGCTCGTCATTCCACAAATCCCTCATTGAAATGTCTGTGTAGGATTGTCATTGTATTGGTTTTAGGTGGTAAAGCGAGCAAGCACTTCACATGGGACGCGTGCCCGCTATACCACAATGTAACTGGCGCGTGGTGTGTCGCCGCGGGAGAAGAACGAGCTGCAGCAGCTTCCACGCGGCGCAGAGCGCTGCACGCGCTGCAGCAGCGCCCGCGCGCCATGCCAACCATTGAGCAGCGCGCTTACCAGCTCAAGGTGAAGGTAGGTGACACTGCATCCATGCCGATATACTAGCGCGTAGGGGCGTGTAGCGGGCGAGGAACGAGCTGCAGCAGCGCCCGCGTGCCATGCCAACCATTGAGCAGCGCGCTTACCAGCTCAAGGTGAAGGTAGGTGACACTGCATCCATGCCGATATACTAGCGCGTAGGGGCGTGTAGCGGGCGAGGAACGAGCTGCAGCAGCGCCCGCGTGCCATGCCAACCATTGAGCAGCGCGCTTACCAGCTCAAGGTGAAGGTAGGTGACACTGCATCCATGCCGATATACTAGCGCGTAGGGGCGTGTAGCGGGCGAGGAACGAGCTGCAGCAGCGCCCGCGTGCCATGCCAACCATTGAGCAGCGCGCTTACCAGCTCAAGGTGAAGGTAGGTGACACTGCATCCATGCCGATATACTAGCGCGTGGGGAGCGTGATTGCGAGCGAAGAATGAGCTGCAGCCACTTCTACGCGGCGCCATACTCGCTATCAAGCAGCGCGCCTACCAGTTCAAGGTGAAGGTAGGTGACACTGCATCTATGCCGCTATAATAGTGCGTGGGGGGGCTTGCGGACGAAGAATGAGCTGCAGCCGCTTCTACGCTGCGCCATACCCGCTATCGAGCAGCGCGCCTACCAGCTCAAGGTGAAGGTAGGTGACACTGCATCCATGCCGATATACTAGCGCGTGGGGGGCGTGAGTGCGAGCGAAGAACGAGCTGCAGCCGCTTCTACGCTGCGCCGTACTCGCTATCGAATAGCGCGCCTACCAGCTCAAGGTGAAGGTAGGTGACACTGCGTCCATGCCGCTATACTAGCGCGTGGGGGCGCGAGTGCGGGCGAAGAACGAGCTGCAGCCGCTTCTACGCTTTATTATATTATAAATTTGAATATATTTGAAACCTTAGTCAAATCCACATAATATAGACTTAATCTAAACTTGTGGTACCTGTGTATATTATATCTTGAGGCCAAGGAATAAATTGTCATTAATGAGTTGTTGTGTTTCAATCGGTTATTGCTAGGTGTCCTGGCGCCCCTTTAATAATTTATCTCGGATTTCCAAGCCTCCAAGTATATCACCACCAATTCACCCACTCCCACGCATGCTAGCCGGTGCAAAGTATTACAAGCGGACGGTGCAAGTTCCTGTTCCGACTGCTGTCAATTTTACCAATAATGAGTTGCTGTCACGAGCAGCTTTGTCTTGTTCCCTACTTAATAGAATGCTAGACTTAGACTTACAGCTGGGGGGTTAAATTTTTAAGCAGTCGGGATTTTCCATATTTTAAACTAACACTTTTATTTCTGTCTTTTGAGTTACGTTACGATTATAAGATTTTAAAAATAAGTAAGTAGCTTGCGATGGTCTAACTGATATATCAATCCAATTTAGAGAGTGTAGTCTTACCACCATGGTCAAGGCTGAATAGGACTGACCTATGGACAGAGTTCTGAGACCGTTGCAGATCGGCGAATTGAAACCGAAGGAAAAACCTTTACTAATATTAATCTAGAGTAAATTTCTCCCTAGGACATGCGCTCGAAATGGAAAGGCAGTCAAGAACTACGTGAAAAACTAGCTGCTTCGGGTGGAGAGGAAACTACAGAAGATAGAGAACCTATATTAGATGGATTCGCTCCTGACTACGATTTGAGATTGTTCAGAGAGGCTCAAGCATTAGCCGCCATCAAAATTGAAGAGGAACTTGGTGACATACACACGGATAAAGGGACCAGGTTTGTTATACTTTTATTTCGTTATATTTCTTCCATCAAGATCAAAATGTAAAAGAAGCGACTTACACACGCATGAACGGAACAGGAGCTCTACTCTCTTTCTCCGAAACGAAATTTCGGTAACGAACGAATTTTAAACGAAATTTCGCCAATAACTCTGCTCTATTTCATTTTCGAACACGCACATAAAGTTCGGAATCACAGACAATTTTCGTGAACGAATGGAATGAGTCATGTTTGTGTGTTCGTTTATCCACCACTTTTTAGATTATCTGTTTTACTTGGATACAATATTACTTTACTACAAATTTTTTGATGACATTAAAAGAACCTTCTTTGACAGTGTTAGCCGACTAATTTGTAGAGTTGATGCACTTCATTAAATGTCATCCTAAATTTGTCGTTTAATACTTTGAAGTATTGAAAATACAATAATTAATTAAAATCTGGTGTATTTGTTAATTTGACATGCTAAAAAATGTTCCTTATGCAGCCTTGATTAAAAATACTCTAGCAGTCATTGTAGGCTTAATTTAAACAAAAGTTCCAAAACGAAAATGAAAAGGTAACACTTTTCATTTCGTCAATTTGAGGTTAAAATTTCGAACAATTATTTGTCAAATTCAACTGTTAGTTTGAATTTTTTGTGAATTAGAGTAGGCTTGGAGAATTTAACTGTCAAACTATTTTCGGACGAACGAATTTTCGAAATGAAAAGGAAACAGATTAAGAAACGTGCGAAAATTCAATCGAAACTCCAGGTTTGTCCTATTATTTCGTTATAATTCTAATAGAAGACAGGGAAGCGATATTTGCTTTTCTGTTTGTATGGAAAAAACATTGCCCCCCCCCGCCCCCCCCCCAACGTGCCTTCCGGAGGAAGTAAAGATAGTATAATTCTGGACACCCATCCTATGACTGGCTATTGCGAAAGCTACCAGAATCTCAGATTGAATGCGCTAACCACTTGGTGGCATCATCTTCATACACACAGTATGTTTGATTTTTATCTTGTGCTCCTCAGGAAATCCTAGTGAAAACCGAAATTTAATTTTGAGTAAAATGTCATCCATTTTCTTATTATTACGGCAGGTTCGTGGTAATGGGCCGGTACAAAATGGAGGTTTGGTACCAATCACCTTATCCGGGCGACGCTTGCAGAGTGCCTCGTCTGTTTGTCTGCGAATACTGTTTAAGTCACCACACTTCAGCTACTGGCGCTTCAAGGCACAAAGCCAAATGTGTGTGGCGACATCCACCCGGAGATGAGGTGATACTAAAATAATAATAATTTTAATTACTCAGTATAAACTGCAAGTTGTTGACTTCCTTGACTAACTTGCTTAAGAGACCTTTCACATTTTTTTGCAAAAAATCGTAATTTTTGCGCGCCTTGTTTACCCCTTTAGAAATGATTTTGACTATTTTCAATAGAAGTAAAGAGTAGATTTAATCTTCCTATTGAAAGTTAATGTAGAATATTTGCAAATACTATTTTCCTTTTTTTGTACTGATCGTTCTGCTGCAGCTAGTTTACAGAAAAAAAACGATAATATGCACCACTTCAAACGCCTCAATCTCTCAATAATGTTCAATAAATTAGATCAAATTAATTATTACGACATCAGAAATATGTTTTTGTTGTAACATAATGTATAAGAATTTTGATTTTCCCTCTCATTAATTATCAAAAAAAAAACATCTAACCTCCGTGAGTTTTCCCAAAAAATAATGCAGGTTTACCTCGTATTTTGATATTGAATTAAATAGAATTAGTATCAAAAACTTTCATAAAACTAATCTACCATCATTGCACTACTGAAATTGTATATATTTTTATAATTAATTCATTAATAATTATTTTGTAAGACTCACAACATCACCCGTAATATGCAATATATACTAGTGCAAATCTACCTACGCGCCGATCAGTATGGCAGCGGCGCAATTTTGTAAAAGGGCTCTTTATAATGTCCCCGTCGTTGGGGCACAGGCATTACTTGTTAGACCGGGAGCTGGTGACAGGTGACGTTCCACGATTTTGTCGTGCTTGCCTTTTTAAGGCGGGATAGTCGGGGTTTTAACCCCCCCCCCCCCCCCCCCCCCCCCCCCCCCCCCCACCCAGCCTTAAGGTGTAATAATTGATGGCATGCACTCCGCAGCGGACCAAGATGATCATAGGATTCTGAAAAACTGAACAAAATTAAAAGGCAATGTTCGTGTTTTCAAATTGCATGCCGATATAAAGAATGGAAGTTTTTAGATGCGCGCGCATCACTGTAACCCAAAAGTAACAGCATGAAGTTGGCCGCGGGCGCGTTATGAAAAAATCATGTGAGTGAAATTTCGAGATGCGCGCGCATCACTGTAACACAATAGTAACACCATGAAGTTGGCCGCGGGCGCGTTATGAATGTTAGTGTTACCACTAAGTGGTTAATAATCCACCATTATTAGACATCTGTCGAAAGGTACTTTGAACGATCCACGGAGCTCCATAAGATGATCGCGTTGTCAAAAACAATGTTGGCACGCTCGTCGTCTCTGATCACTGTTTTCATATTTATAATATTTATCCACATGTTTCTAGTTTCTATATTTTTTAAATTGAGAAATTGATGTTTATTCAATTTATTCACAATTTTTGTATGTTGGGCTATAGCTACATGCATGCCATTTACATTCATGACTTAAAATAATGTAAATTCACGAAATACAAAACGGCATGCAAAAACAAGTCACCTAAATTTGCACAGTGTTTTTTGTAACTTTTATTATTATTTATAATACGATGAGCTTATTCAAATTTTACAGAGTTATCCGGAAATTTACCACCGTTGGTCATACGGGGGGTGCATGCCTATTTTTCCAGAGTGTGTTTATTACAAAAACTTCTATTCTTTTTATCGGCATGCAATTTCAAAACACGGACATTGCCTTTTAATTTTGTTCAGGTTTTCAGAATCCTATGATCATCTTGGGCCGCTGCGGAGTGCATGCCATTAATGATTACAGCTTTAATTTGTTTAAACTTCACTATATTACAATGGCATGCAGTAGCACGGAAAAACACGAAAACCCGAAAACACAAAGAAAAGCGCTTTTCCTTATGAAGAGGAAGCGCGGGGGGGGGGGGGGGGGGCTAAAACCCCGACTATCATTGATATGTTAGGGTATGTTATCAAGCTTTAAAAAGGGCATGCACGACAAAATCGTGGAACGTGTCACCAGCTCCCGGTCTATGTGGATAGAAGAGGCTGATCTGGCCCACCCACCACGCGGACCCAGTGCGGATTAGAAGGTGCTAAGCTGCCACTGCAAATGCAAATCTGTAAATGAATTCGGCTATCCATTCATTGGATAAGATAATGTTATACGGAAATCCCAACCAATCCCATGATCGGCGTGTCGATCGTTGTTTTTTGCCCCGCCCACTTGATCGCAGTATGAGCGGAACCACTTTCGAGCGCAGCTCGTATCCCATATTATTTCTAATTGTTTCGTTTGGCCTTATAAATAACTAAAAGAGTTGTTCACACATACCAGGTGTACAGAAAGGACAAGCTCAGTGTTTGGCAAGTGGACGGCCGAAAGCACAAGCAGTACTGCCAGCAGTTATGCTTGCTTGCCAAGTTTTTCCTCGACCACAAGACTTTGTACTACGACGTGGAACCGTTCTTGTTCTACGTGATGACTTGCGCCGATGACGAGGGATGCCACGTCGTTGGGTACTTTAGCAAGGTATGTACTATACATCCATCGTAATCATCAAGAAATGTACTGTCCATCATTCGTTGCGACATACTGGCCTATTGCTGAGGCACAAACCTTCCCTATGGTCGGTATCGTGAGTTTGAATCGCAGACATGCATTGAAATAAATACCTCAAGTGTATGTACTTCATCATCACCATCAGCCTATTAATGTCCCCACTGCTGGGGCACAGGCCTTCCCTATGGATGGAATAGGGAGATTGGGCCATGACCTACCACGCGGGCCCAGTTCGGATTAGCGGGTGCTAACGACTGCAGATTCAGCCGGGAGCAATGGCTTAACGTGCCTTCCGAAGCACGGAGGAACCCGAGATAGAAGATTTTTTGTCACCCATCCAATAACCGACCACTGCGAAAGTTGCTTAACTTCAACGATAGCAGCTGAACGCCCTAACCACCTGCGCCTTCGACATTTAACCAAGTTCTTCCTCGACCACAAAACTATGTACTTATGATGTGGAGCCATTCTGGTTCTATGTAATGACCTGCGCTGCTGACGAGGGATGCCACGTCGTTCAATATTTTAGCAAGGTATTTATAATTATTATCATCAACATACTTCAACAAGGTATGTTATATCCTGTGTCCGCTGTATACTATATGTAGATATTGCAGACTTTGTCTTTTTAAGCTTGACTAAAGTTGACGAACAGAATGAAACAGCACAGGAGCATTAAAAATATTTATATTGCTACTCAATTTACTGAGTAGGTACGGCTGCAAGTGTTATAAATTATATAACGCTCCTATCCAAACATACTTCAGCATGGTATGTTTTATAAAATCAATGTTATTGCCAAGCGGTAATGACTAAAAACCTCAGATTCTTCAATTACGCCGTTACGTATTGTCACTAAGCGCGTTCTATCGTCTGTACCACGGCGAGTTTTCTGAGGAGTTATTTTCTCTTATCCCACCTTCCCCTTTCCTTCAGAGGACCACGCGCGCTGACCTACGTTGTCACGGTCTAACTGTGGCCACAATTCCAACGCGTACAATGAAATTTAGTGACTCATTTCTTTGTCGCGCTATCTGCAAATGGAATGCTCTGCCTGCTCACGTGTTCCCTCCTTCTTACAACCTGGGATCCTTTAAAAGAGGCGTGAAGAAGCAACATGCAGGCCGGCTGGGTGAGGATGGCTGGTGTGGCAAGTAGAACTGCTGTACCAGCTATCTTCGCGTCTAGACTTCACCGTCACTTAGCATCAGGTGCAGTGGAGTAATATGTCTGACCCAACACAGAGTCTGCTCAGACCAAACGTTGTTTCTGTCTCAATTTGACGTTACTTTTACAGGCATTCTCAAGCATTTTCAAGCAGAATCTATTCGCGACTAGCAATACTTTCTGTAAGACTCAATAAAGGTAAGTTTAGGTAAAAACTTTGGAGTATAGTGGGAGTCGTTCTTCTTTCCATTTTGTGGTAGTAGTCTGTACAAGACTATAGGATGAATAGAGTAGTTAGCTTTTCTATTTTCCAAATGTCAAATATCGAATGGGTATATATATCTTCTTTTGGTGCCTACCCACTGGACAGTCCGTGGCCTCCAAAGTGGCCATGAGCACGCACCCCTCAACAGTCCGTGGCCTCTTTGGTGGCCACGTTCGAATTTCCGCGCGGCCTGCTCTTTTTCTACAGACTATAACGAATACTTGTATTTATGGACCTCAAGCCAGCTACGCACAGTATCTTTATGATATTTGTAACGTACTGGTATCACCGGAACACCCTAGTCTGCTTTGGAAAAAATTAAAAAAAATAAAACTGACACAATATTTTCTTTCGTAAATTGTGATCAAGTAAAGTGTTAACGTGCTGCTTTTAGTGTTGAAATATGCCGTAAGTACCTTTTTATCTTTGTTATATTATATATCCAGATATTTGTGATAATACAGGCTTTCATATTTTCAAAAGATTATCACGAGCAAAATGATCTGAAAATTATAAAAATAACCTGAAGATTTGTTGATAGAAAAAAATAAACATTCGGCGGATTTCAATGGCGTATAATTAATAGTTAAATACTAAATTGTTATTGATTATTGATAAATTACGTCGTGTAATTAATTAAAAAACTTATTTCAATAGTTAAAATCAAGTAAACATGTAAGTTAGCACTAGATTCATGTATTTTGTGACGGGTATTGTTCATTGTTTACCGATGAGTCGCCGATGACGTAACAGCTACTATGTACTGTTAGTAAATAAGGGTCGTTACAGATAACAATTTTAAATTGCTTTTTTTATCTGGAGTGTGCTTATAATTACGTGGTAGTTTGTTTGTTCGTTTGTAAATTTTTAGATTGGGAACGAAAATTATTACCAAGTGTTTTTTGTAAAATATTAATGAAATCTTTTTTTTAATTGCTATGTATGTACGTTTGTTCGGTTGGAATCTTGCAACTTAATTTTGAAGCAGTTGTTTTCATTCGATTGAGCTGAAATTTTGTACACACGTTTAGTTTGGATTATAATGCATGGTGAGCTGTGTGACGTCATTCAAAATCCTATATGGCGGAACATACAAGATGGCGGACTAGCTATTTTCGATGCACTCCTACAATATGGGTATCAAATGAAAGGGCATGATGAGAATAACTCAAAAAATAAAGTGACGTCACTTTAAATCCAATATGGCGGACAAAGTTTTTTATGTTTTGCTACAATATGGGTATCAAATGAAAGGGCTTGCTGAGAATAACTCGATAAATAAAGTGACGTCACTTTTAATCCAATATGGCGGACAAAGTTTTTTATGTTTTGCTACAATATGGGTATCAAATGAAAGGGCTTGCTGAGAATAACTCGATAAATAAAGTGACGTCACTTTAAATCCAATATGGCGGACAAAGTTTTTTTATGTTTTGCTACAATATGGGTATCAAATGAAAAGGCTTGCTGAGAATAACTCGATAAATAAAGTGACGTCAACTTAATTCAATACCGCTTTTTTATACTGCTAAGTTTTTTACGCTTTCCTAAAGGGTATCAACAAAAAAAAACTAGCTATAAATGTGGGGTTTTAAAGTTCTTGATTATGTGCATCTTTAAACTAAAAAAACTTAAAAACAAGCTTTTTTTACTCTTAGCTATGTTTTGTGGTCTACTTTTACTCATGTGCTTAAAAGAGGTGGTTTGTTTGTTCATATTTTTTTTGTTGTGGACGCGTTTTTTTCTTGCTTTTCTAATTTTAATAAATATATAACTGTCTTTCAGATTTCGCACCTAATGACAGTTGCGACAGGCCGGCCCAATAAGGAGAAAGCAACCAACATCCTGATCATCTGCATGAAGATAAAATATATATTATATATATATATAGGGGGATGAAAAATAGATGTTGTTCGTATCTCAGACCTACTGAATATGCAAATAAAATTTCACGAAAATCGGTCGAGCCTTATCGGAGTAACTACTCCTACGGTGTGCGTAATTGAACTCAATTACGCACACCGTGACACGAGAATTTTACATATTAGATATATATATCATACACTATATATATCTATATTATTTATGTATATATCATACATAAATAATATACATATATATAGTAGGTATATTTATTGAAAATAAAAAAAATATAAAATATTGAATTGTTTTTATTTAAAAGTAACCTACTCGGCTACTACGCAAAGTCCGTATTGAGCCTTAGGAACGGCGGCCATCTTGTGAATATTTCCGTCGTCCGAAATGGCCGAAGCCGTGGTGGATGAGAAGTCGACAGGATGTTAGATTTTGCTTTACTGAAAAGGATACAGACTGAATTAAAAAAAGTTATTGATACCATTAGAAAGGTAGTTAAATTTCCTGCATATTGAGAACAACTAATTTTGACATTTTCTAACTAACATTAGGAAACAGGCGTTTAATTTTAAAAGTTTATTAAAAATTGACTTTTTGTTGGGTTCAACCCGCTCTATTTAATCGTTTTTCGAGTTACAGAGATGCAAGTGTTCTGTAGTAGATTCTTTATTTAATCAGCTTTACGGTAGTATTTTTTGTTTGGTCCTAGCTTCAGTATTTAGCGAGAAAATGGCATTTCTAACTGAAAATCCGGAATGGCCGACATTTTTCGCTTCGCTTCGCGCCGCTTGGACTGTTGAGAGCGGCTGCTTTGGTTGCCACGGACTTCCCGGTGGCTAAGAGAAAAAGCAAAAGCGAATTTTCCGCTCGAATTGGAACTCCTGTCTGGGGAAGTAACCTCCACCTATTTTGCTATAGTATATAACTGTATCGCACATTTGTCTGAACTGTATGACATGTCATTCGAAAATTACGAGTTTAGGATATTTTATTAATAGTATATTCCAAATTATTTATAGGAAGGTGACTTTATAAATTATCTCATATTGAAGTATTTTTCTACTTGACGTCTGATATTGAAGTCACTTTCAACCTGTATATAAAAATAATAAATAAAAAAATAAACTTTTTATTTCCGTAATTTTACATGCAATAATAGTAATTAAATTATAAAGCTTTATAATTATTTATTATTAGTTGTTAAATAAAATTTTCTACAATATTTGTTTATATATTAAATTTTGATTGTTGCGTTTTCTAATTTTTCTTTATTGGGTAAATTTTATTTTATTTGTTTATGAATATATCTTTTATTTTGATTTTTTCCCCTTTTTGCTCCTGGTATTATTGATTGATGGTATATAATAATAGCAGGAGAAAAAAGAAAATTCGTTTCAAAAACCGGCCCTTACAGAGTTTCTTGCCGGTCCTTCTCAATACTAGATCTCCCGTCATAGATTTGCGACCTGATGGTATAGTTTTAAATTTTCACGTGTGCCTGAAAAAGCCTATACTAATTAAATGAATTTGAGTTTTTTTTTTTATTAATAGTGGATAGCTAGAGTACTGCCGTCGAGCTTTTATTTGCCACCCTTTTAACATAAATAATTAATTTAACTTATTAAAATTATTTAACTAATTAGATTCTATATGAAATAGTTAC